AGAAGAGAGGAGAGTGTGCAGGGGAGAGAGAGGAGGGGAGAGAAGAGAAGAGAGGAGAGTGTGCAGGGGAGACAGAGGAGGGGAGAGAGAGGAGGGGAGAGAAGAGAAGAGAGGAGAGTGTGCAGGGGAGAGAGAGGAGGGGAGAGAAGAGAAGAGAGGAGAGTGTGCAGGGGAGACAGAGGAGGGGAGAGAGAGGAGGGGAGAGAAGAGAAGAGAGGAGAGTGTGCAGGGGAGAGAGAGGAGGGGGGAGAAGAGAAGAGAAGAGAGTGTGCAGGGGAGAGAGAGGAGGGGAGAGAAGAGAAGAGAGGAGAGTGTGCAGGGGAGAGAGAGGAGGGGAGAGAAGAGAAGAGAGGAGGGTGTGCAGGGGAGAGAGAGGAGGGGAGAGAAGAGAAGAGTGGAGAGTGTGCAGGGGAGAGAGAGGAGGGGAGAGAAGAGAAGAGGGAGAGTGTGCAGGGGAGAGAGAGGAGGGGAGAGAAGAGAAGAGGGGAGAGTGTGCAGGGGAGAGAGAGGAGGGGAGAGAAGAGAAGAGAGGAGAGTGTGCAGGGGAGAGAGAGGAGGGGAGAGAAGAGAAGAGAGGAGAGTGTGCAGGGGAGAGAGAGGAGGGGAGAGAAGAGAAGAGAGGAGAGTGTGCAGGGGAGAGAGAGGAGGGGAGAGAAGAGAAGAGAGGAGAGTGTGCAGGGGAGAGAGAGGAGGGGAGAGAAGAGAAGAGAGGAGAGTGTGCAGGGGAGAGAGAGGAGGGGAGAGAAGAGAAGAGAGGAGAGTGTGCAGGGGAGAGAGAGGAGGGGAGAGAAGAGAAGAGAGGAGAGTGTGCAGGGGAGAGAGAGGAGGGGAGAGAAGAGAAGAGTGGAGAGTGTGCAGGGGAGAGAGAGGAGGGGAGAGAAGAGAAGAGAGGAGAGTGTGCAGGGGAGAGAGAGGAGGGGAGAGAAGAGAAGAGGAGAGTGTGCAGGGGAGAGAGAGGAGGGGAGAGAAGAGAAGAGAGGAGAGTGTGCAGGGGAGAGAGAGGAGGGGAGAGAAGAGAAGAGAGGAGAGTGTGCAGGGGAGAGAGAGGAGGGGAGAGAAGAGAAGAGTGGAGAGTGTGCAGGGGAGAGAGAGGGGAGAGAGAGAAGAGGGAGAGTGTGCAGGGGAGAGAGAGAGAGAAGAGAGAGTGTGCAGGGGAGAGAGAGGAGGGGAGAGAAGAGAAGAGGGGAGAGTGTGCAGGGGAGAGAGAGGAGGGGAGAGAGAGAGAAGAGGGAGAGTGTGCAGGGGAGAGAGAGGAGGGAGAGAGGAAGAGAGAGAGTGTGCAGGGGAGAGAGAGGAGGGGAGAGAAGAGAAGAGAGGAGAGTGTGCAGGGGAGAGAGAGGAGGGGAGAGAAGAGAAGAGTGGAGAGTGTGGAGGGGAGAGAAGAGAAGAGAGTGTGCAGGGGAGAGAGAGGAGGGGAGAGAAGAGAAGAGAGTGTGCAGGGGAGAGAGAGGAGGGGAGAGAAGAGAAGAGAGGAGAGTGTGCAGGGGAGAGAGAGGAGGGGAGAGAAGAGAAGAGAGGAGAGTGTGCAGGGGAGAGAGAGGAGGGGAGAGAAGAGAAGAGAGGAGAGTGTGCAGGGGAGAGAGAGGAGGGAGAGAAGAGGGGAGAGTGTGCAGGGGAGAGAGAGGAGGGGAGAGAAGAGGGGGAGAGTGTGCAGGGGAGAGAGAGGAGGGGAGAGAAGAGGGGAGAGTGTGCAGGGGAGAGAGAGGAGGGCAGAGAAGAGAGTGTGCAGGGGAGAGAGAGGAGGGGAGAGAAGAGAAGAGAGGAGAGTGTGCAGGGGAGAGAGAGGAGGCGAGAGAAGAGGGGAGAGTGTGCAGGGGAGAGAGAGGAGGAGAGAGAAGAGAAGAGTTGAGAGTGTGCAGGGAGAGAGCGAGTGAAGAGAGAGTGTGCAGGGGAGAGAGAGGAGGGGAGAGAAGAGAAGAGAGGAGAGTGTGCAGGGGAGAGAGAGGAGGGGAGAGAAGAGAAGAGAGTGTGCAGGGGAGAGAGAGGAGGGGAGAGAAGAGAAGAGAGGAGAGTGTGCAGGGGAGACAGAAGAGGGGAGAGAAGAGAAGAGAGGAGAGTGTGCAGGGGAGAGAGAGGAGGGGAGAGAAGAGAAGAGAGGAGAGTGTGCAGGGGAGACAGAGGAGGGGAGAGAGAAGAGAGGAGGGTGTGCAGGGGGAGAGAGAGGAGGGGAGAGAAGAGAAGAGGGGAGAGTGTGCAGGGGAGAGAGAGGAGGGGAGAGAAGAGAAGAGGGGAGAGTGTGCAGGGGAGAGAGAGGAGGGGAGAGAAGAGAAGAGTGTGCAGGGGAGAGAGAGGAGGGGAGAGAAGAGAAGAGAGGAGAGTGTGCAGGGGAGAGAGAGGAGGGGAGAGAAGAGAAGAGGGGAGAGTGTGCAGGGGAGAGAGAGGAGGGGAGAGAAGAGAAGAGTGTGCAGGGGAGAGAGAGGAGGGGAGAGAAGAGAAGAGAGGAGAGTGTGCAGGGGAGAGAGAGGAGGGGAGAGAAGAGAAGAGAGGAGAGTGTGCAGGGGAGAGAGAGGAGGGGAGAGAAGAGAAGAGTGGAGAGTGTGCAGGGGAGAGAGAGGAGGGGAGAGAAGAGAAGAGAGGAGAGTGTGCAGGGGAGAGAGAGGAGGGGAGAGAAGAGAAGAGGGGAGAGTGTGCAGGGGAGAGAGAGGAGGGGAGAGAAGAGAAGAGGGGAGAGTGTGCAGGGGAGAGAGAGGAGGGGAGAGAAGAGAAGAGTGTGCAGGGGAGAGAGAGGAGGGGAGAGAAGAGAAGAGAGGAGAGTGTGCAGGGGAGAGAGAGGAGGGGAGAGAAGAGAAGAGTGGAGAGTGTGCAGGGGAGAGAGAGGAGGGGAGAGAAGAGGGGAGAGTGTGCAGGGGAGAGAGAGGAGGGGAGAGAAGAGAAGAGAGGAGAGTGTGGAGGGGAGAGAGAGGAGGGGAGAGTGTGCAGGGGAGAGAGAGGAGAGAAGAGTGGAGAGTGTGCAGGGGAGAGAGAGGAGGGGAGAGAAGAGAAGAGAGGAGAGTGTGCAGGGGAGAGAGAGGAGGGGAGAGAAGAGAAGAGAGGAGAGTGTGCAGGGGAGAGAGAGGAGGGGAGAGAAGAGGGGAGAGTGTGCAGGGGAGAGAGAGGAGGGGAGAGAAGAGGGGAGAGTGTGCAGGGGAGAGAGAGGAGGGGAGAGAAGAGAAGAGAGGAGAGTGTGCAGGGGAGAGAGAGGAGGCGAGAGAAGAGGGGAGAGTGTGCAGGGGAGAGAGAGGAGGAGAGAGAAGAGAAGAGTTGAGAGTGTGCAGGGGAGAGCGAGGAGGCGAGAGAAGAGAAGAGTGTGTGCAGGGGAGACAGAGGAGGGGAGAGAAGAGAAGAGAGGAGAGTGTGCAGGGGAGAGAGAGGAGGGGAGAGAAGAGAAGAGGGGAGAGTGTGCAGGGGAGAGAGAGGAGGGGAGAGAAGAGAAGAGTGGAGAGTGTGCAGGGGAGAGAGAGGAGGGGAGAGAAGAGAAGAGAGGAGAGTGTGCAGGGGAGAGAGAGGAGGGGAGAGAAGAGAAGAGTGTGCAGGGGAGAGAGAGGAGGGGAGAGAAGAGAAGAGAGGAGAGTGTGCAGGGGAGACAGAAGAGGGGAGAGAAGAGAAGAGAGGAGAGTGTGTGCAGGGGAGAGAGAGGAGGGGAGAGAAGAGAAGAGAGGAGAGTGTGCAGGGGAGAGAGAGGAGGGGAGAGAAGAGAAGAGTGGAGAGTGTGCAGGGGAGAGAGAGGAGGGGAGAGAAGAGGAGAGGGGAGAGTGTGCAGGGGGAGAGAGAGGAGGGGAGAGAAGAGAAGAGAGGAGAGTGTGCAGGGGAGAGAGAGGAGGGGAGAGAAGAGAAGAGGGGAGAGTGTGCAGGGGAGAGAGAGGAGGGGAGAGAAGAGAAGAGTGGAGAGTGTGCAGGGGAGAGAGAGGAGGGGAGAGAAGAGAAGAGAGGAGAGTGTGCAGGGGAGACAGAGGAGGGGAGAGAAGAGAAGAGAGGAGAGTGTGCAGGGGAGAGAGAGGAGGGGAGAGAAGAGAAGAGAGGAGAGTGTGCAGGGGAGAGAGAGGAGGGGAGAGAAGAGAAGAGAGGAGAGTGTGCAGGGGGAGAGAGAGGAGGGGAGAGAAGAGAAGAGAGGAGAGTGTGCAGGGGAGACAGAGGAGGGGAGAGAGAGGAGGGGGAGAGAGAAGAGAAGAGAGGAGAGTGTGCAGGGGAGAGAGAGGAGGGGAGAGAAGAGAAGAGGGGAGAGTGTGCAGGGGAGAGAGAGGAGGGGAGAGAAGAGAAGAGAGGAGGGTGTGCAGGGGAGAGAGAGGAGGGGAGAGAAGAGAAGAGTGGAGAGTGTGCAGGCGAGAGAGAGGAGGGGAGAGAAGAGAAGAGGGAGAGTGTACAGGGGAGAGAGAGGAGGGGAGAGAAGAGAAGAGAGGAGAGTGTGCAGGGGAGAGAGAGGAGGGGAGAGAAGAGAAGAGGGGAGAGTGTACAGGGGAGAGAGAGGAGGGGAGAGAAGAGAAGAGAGGAGAGTGTGCAGGGGAGAGAGAGGAGGGGAGAGAAGAGAAGAGGGGAGAGTGTGCAGGGGAGAGAGAGGAGGGGAGAGAAGAGAAGAGGGGAGAGTGTGCAGGGGAGAGAGAGGAGGGGAGAGAAGAGAAGAGAGGAGAGTGTGCAGGGGAGAGAGAGGAGGGGGAGAGAAGAGAAGAGAGGAGAGTGTGCAGGGGAGAGAGAGGAGGGGAGAGAAGAGAAGAGAGGAGAGTGTGCAGGGGAGAGAGAGGAGGGGAGAGAAGAGAAGAGAGGAGAGTGTGCAGGGGAGAGAGAGGAGGGGAGAGAAGAGAAGAGTGGGCAGGGGAGAGAGAGGGAGAGAAGAGAAGAGAGGAGAGTGTGTGCAGGGGAGAGAGAGGAGGGGAGAGAAGAGAAGAGGGGAGAGTGTGCAGGGGAGAGAGAGGAGGGGAGAGAAGAGAAGAGTGTGCAGGGGAGAGAGAGGAGGGGAGAGAAGAGAAGAGTGGAGAGTGTGCAGGCGAGAGAGAGGAGGGGAGAGAAGAGAAGAGGGGAGAGTGTACAGGGGAGAGAGAGGAGGGGAGAGAAGAGAAGAGTGTGCAGGGGAGAGAGAGGAGGGGAGAGAAGAGAAGAGAGGAGAGTGTGCAGGGGAGAGAGAGGAGGGGAGAGAAGAGAAGAGAGGAGAGTGTGCAGGGGAGACAGAGGAGGGGAGAGAAGAGAAGAGAGGAGAGTGTGCAGGGGAGAGAGAGGAGGGGAGAGAAGAGAAGAGTGGAGAGTGTGCAGGCGAGAGAGAGGAGGGGAGAGAAGAGAAGAGGGAGAGTAGAGAAGAGTGTGCAGGGGAGAGAGAGGAGGGGAGAGAAGAGAAGAGAGGAGAGTGTGCAGGGGAGAGAGAGGAGGGGAGAGAAGAGAAGAGGGGAGAGTGTGCAGGGGAGAGAGAGGAGGAGGGAGAGAAGAGAAGAGTGTGCAGGGGAGAGAGAGGAGGGGAGAGAAGAGAAGAGGGGAGAGTGTGCAGGGGAGAGAGAGGAGGGGAGAGAAGAGAAGAGAGGAGAGTGTGCAGGGGAGACAGAGGAGGGAGAGAGAGAGGAGGGGAGAGAAGAGAAGAGAGGAGAGTGTGCAGGGGAGAGAGAGGAGGGGAGAGAAGAGAAGAGAGGAGAGTGTGCAGGGGAGAGAGAGGAGGGGAGAGAAGAGAAGAGGGGAGAGTGTGCAGGGGAGACAGAGGAGGGGAGAGAAGAGAAGAGAGGAGAGTGTGCAGGGGAGAGAGAGGAGGGGAGAGAAGAGAAGAGAGGAGAGTGTGCAGGGGAGAGAGAGGAGGGGAGAGAAGAGAAGAGAGGAGAGTGTGCAGGGGAGAGAGAGGAGGGGAGAGAAGAGAAGAGGGGAGAGTGTGCAGGGGAGACAGAGGAGGGGAGAGAAGAGAAGAGAGGAGAGTGTGCAGGGGAGAGAGAGGAGGGGAGAGAAGAGAAGAGAGGAGAGTGTGCAGGGGAGAGAGAGGAGGGGAGAGAAGAGAAGAGAGGAGAGTGTGCAGGGGAGAGAGAGGAGGGGAGAGAAGAGAAGAGTGGAGAGTGTGCAGGGGAGACAGAGGAGGGGAGAGAAGAGAAGAGAGGAGAGTGTGCAGGGGAGAGAGGAGGGGAGAGAAGAGAAGAGGGGAGAGTGTGCAGGGGAGAGAGAGGAGGGGAGAGAAGAGAAGAGAGGAGAGTGTGCAGGGGAGAGAGAGGAGGGGAGAGAAGAGAAGAGGGGAGAGTGTACAGGGGAGAGAGAGGAGGGGAGAGAAGAGAAGAGAGGAGAGTGTGCAGGGGAGAGAGAGGAGGGGAGAGAAGAGAAGAGGGGAGAGTGTGCAGGGGAGAGAGAGGAGGGGAGAGAAGAGAAGAGAGGAGAGTGTGCAGGGGAGAGAGAGGAGGGGAGAGAAGAGAAGAGAGGAGAGTGTGCAGGGGAGAGAGAGGAGGGGAGAGAAGAGAAGAGTGGAGAGTGTGCAGGCGAGAGAGAGGAGGGGAGAGAAGAGAAGAGGGGAGAGTGTACAGGGGAGAGAGAGGAGGGGAGAGAAGAGAAGAGTGTGCAGGGGAGAGAGAGGAGGGGAGAGAAGAGAAGAGAGGAGAGTGTGCAGGGGAGAGAGAGGAGGGGAGAGAAGAGAAGAGAGGAGAGTGTGCAGGGGAGAGAGAGGAGGGGAGAGAAGAGAAGAGTGTGCAGGGGAGAGAGAGAGGAGAGAAGAGAAGAGGGGAGAGTGTGCAGGGGAGAGAGAGGAGGGGAGAGAAGAGAAGAGAGGAGAGTGTGCAGGGGAGAGAGAGGAGGGGAGAGAAGAGAAGAGAGGAGAGTGTGCAGGGGAGAGAGAGGAGGGGAGAGAAGAGAAGAGAGGAGAGTGTGCAGGCGAGAGAGAGGAGGGGAGAGAAGAGAAGAGGGGAGAGTGTACAGGGGAGAGAGAGGAGGGGAGAGAAGAGAAAGAGTGTGCAGGGGAGAGAGAGGAGGGGAGAGAAGAGAAGAGAGGAGAGTGTGCAGGGGAGAGAGAGAGGGGAGAGAAGAGAAGAGTGTGCAGGGGAGAGAGAGGAGGGAGAGAAGAGAAGAGTGTGCAGGGGAGAGAGAGGAAGGGAGAGAAGAGTGTGCAGGTGAGACAGAGGGGAGAGAGAGGAGGGGAGAGAAGAGAAGAGAGGAGAGTGTGCAGGGGAGAGAGAGGAGGGGAGAGAAGAGAAGAGAGGAGAGTGTGCAGGGAGAGAGAGGAGGGGAGAGAAGAGAAGAGAGGAGAGTGTGCAGGGGAGACAGAGGAGGGGAGGAGAGGAGGGAAGAGAAGAGAGAGAGAGTGTGCAGGGAGAGAGAGAGGAGGGGAGAGAAGAGAAGAGAGGAGAGTGTGCAGGGGAGAGAGAGGAGGGGAGAGAAGAGAAGAGAGGAGAGTGTGCAGGGGAGAGAGAGGAGGGGAGAGAAGAGAAGAGTGGAGAGTGGCAGGGGAGAGAGAGGAGGGGAGAGAAGAGAAGAGAGGAGAGTGTGCAGGGGAGAGAGAGGAGGGGAGAGAAGAGAAGAGGGAGAGTGTGCAGGGGAGAGAGAGGAGGGGAGAGAAGAGAAGAGGGGAGAGTGTGCAGGGGAGAGAGAGGAGGGGGAGAGAAGAGAAGAGTGTGCAGGGGAGAGAGAGGAGGGGAGAGAAGAGAAGAGAGGAGAGTGTGCAGGGAGAGAGAGGAGGGGAGAGAAGAGAAGAGAGGAGAGTGTGCAGGGAGAGAGAGGAGGGGAGAGAAGAGAAGAGAGGAGAGTGTGGAGGGGAGAGAAGAGAAGAGAGTGTGCAGGGGAGAGAGAGGAGGGGAGAGAAGAGAAGAGAGGAGAGTGTGCAGGGGAGAGAGAGGAGGGGAGGGAAGAGAAGAGAGGAGAGTGTGCAGGGGAGAGAGAGGAGGGGAGAGAAGAGAAGAGAGGAGAGTGTGCAGGGGAGAGAGAGGAGGGGAGAGAAGAGAAGAGAGGAGAGTGTGCAGGGGAGAGAGAGGAGGGAGAGAAGAGAAGAGTGGAGAGTGTGCAGGGGAGAGAGAGGAGGGGAGAGAAGAGAAGAGAGGAGAGTGTGCAGGGGAGAGAGAGGAGGGGAGAGAAGAGAAGAGTGGAGAGTGTGCAGGGGAGAGAGAGGAGGGGAGAGAAGAGGGGAGAGTGTGCAGGGAGAGAGAGGAGGGGGAGAATGGTGCAGGGGAGAGAGAGAGAGTGTGCAGGGAGAAGAGAAGGGGAGAGAAGAGGGAGAGTGTGCAGGGGAGAGAGAGGAGGGGAGAGAAGAGAAGAGTGGAGAGTGTGCAGGGGAGAGAGAGGAGGGGAGAGAAGAGAGGAGAGTGTGCAGGGGAGAGAGAGGAGGGGGAGAAGAGAAGAGAGGAGAGTGTGCAGGGGAGAGAGAGGAGGGAGAGAAGAGAAGAGAGGAGAGTGTGCAGGGGAGAGAGAGGAGGGGAGAGAAGAGAAGAGAGGGAGAGTGTGCAGGGGAGAGAGAGGAGGGGAGAGAAGAGAAGAGGGAGAGTGTGCAGGGGAGAGAGAGGAGGGGAGAGAAGAGAAGAGAGGAGAGTGTGCAGGGGAGAGAGAGGAGGGGAGAGAAGAGAAGAGGGGAGAGTGTGCAGGGGAGAGAGAGGAGGGGAGAGAAGAGAAGAGTGGAGAGTGTGCAGGGGAGAGAGAGGAGGGGAGAGAAGAGAAGAGAGGAGAGTGTGCAGGGGAGAGAGAGGAGGGGAGAGAGAAGAGAGGAGAGTGTGCAGGGAGAGAGAGGAGGGGAGAGAAGAGAAGAGAGGAGAGTGTGCAGGGGAGAGAGAGGAGGGGAGAGAAGAGAAGAGAGGAGAGTGTGCAGGGGAGAGAGAGGAGGGGAGAGAAGAGAAGAGAGGAGAGTGTGCAGGGGAGAGAGAAGGAGGGGAGAGAAGAGAAGAGAGGAGAGTGTGCAGGGGAGAGAGAGGAGGGGAGAGAAGAGAAGAGGGGAGAGTGTGCAGGGGAGAGAGAGGAGGGGAGAGAAGAGAAGAGGGGAGAGTGTGCAGGGGAGAGAGAGGAGGGGAGAGAAGAGCAGGGGAGAGTGTGCAGGGAGGAGAGAGAGGAGGGGAGAGAAGAGAGAGGGGAGAGTGTGCAGGGGAGAGAGAGGAGGGGAGAGAAGAGAAGAGAGGAGAGTGTGCAGGGGAGAGAGAGGAGGGGAGAGAAGAGAAGAGGGAGAGTGTGCAGGGGAGAGAGAGGAGGGGAGAGAGAGAAGAGGGAGAGTGTGCAGGGGAGAGAGAGGAGGGGAGAGAAGAGGGGAGAGTGTGCAGGGGAGAGAGAGGAGGGGAGAGAAGAGAAGAGAGGAGAGTGTGCAGGGGAGAGAGAGGAGGGGAGAGAAGAGAAGAGGGAGAGTGTGCAGGGGAGAGAGAGGAGGGGAGAGAAGAGAAGAGAGGAGAGTGTGCAGGGGAGAGAGAGGAGGGGGAGAAGAGAAGAGAGGAGAGTGTGCAGGGGAGAGAGAGGAGGGGAGAGAAGAGGAGAGTGTGCAGGGGAGAGAGAGGAGGGAGAGAAGAGAAGAGAGGAGAGTGTGCAGGGGAGAGAGAGGAGGGGAGAGAAGAGGGGAGAGTGTGCAGGGGAGAGAGAGGAGGGGAGAGAAGAGAAGAGGAGAGTGTGCAGGGGAGAGAGAGGAGGGGAGAGAGAGAAGAGGGGAGAGTGTGCAGGGGAGAGAGAGGAGGGGAGAGAAGAGAAGAGGAGAGTGTGCAGGGGAGAGAGAGGAGGGGAGAGAAGAGAAGAGGGAGAGTGTGTGCAGGGGAGAGAGAGGAGGGGAGAGAGAAGAGAAGAGAGGAGAGTGTGCAGGGGAGAGAGAGGAGGGGAGAGAAGAGAAGAGAGGAGAGTGTGCAGGGGAGAGAGAGGAGGGGAGAGAAGAGAAGAGGGAGAGTGTGCAGGGGAGAGAGAGGAGGGGAGAGAAGAGAAGAGGGAGAGTGTGCAGGGGAGAGAGAGGAGGGGAGAGAAGAGAAGAGAGGAGAGTGTGCAGGGGAGAGAGAGGAGGGGAGAGAAGAGAAGAGTGTGCAGGGGAGAGAGAGGAGGGGAGAGAAGAGAAGAGAGGAGAGTGTGCAGGGGAGAGAGAGAGGGGAGAGAAGAGAAGAGAGGAGAGTGTGCAGGGGGAGAGAGAGGAGGGGAGAGAAGAGAAGAGAGGAGAGTGTGCAGGGGAGAGAGAGGAGGGGAGAGAAGAGAAGAGGGGGAGAGTGTGCAGGGGAGAGAGAGGAGGGGAGAGAAGAGAAGAGTGGAGAGTGTGCAGGGGAGAGAGAGGAGGGGAGAGAAGAGAAGAGGGGAGAGTGTGCAGGGGAGAGAGAGGAGGGGAGAGAAGAGAAGAGAGGAGAGTGTGCAGGGGAGAGAGAGGAGGGGAGAGAAGAGAAGAGGGAGAGTGTGCAGGGGAGAGAGAGGAGGGGAGAGAAGAGAAGAGTGGAGAGTGTGCAGGGGAGAGAGAGGAGGGGAGAGAAGGAGAAGAGATGGAGAGTGTGCAGGGGAGAGAGAGGAGGGGAGAGAAGAGAAGAGAGGAGAGTGTGCAGGGGAGAGAGAGGAGGGGAGAGAAGAGAAGAGAGGAGAGTGTGCAGGGGAGAGAGAGGAGGGGAGAGAAGAGAAGAGAGGAGAGTGTGCAGGGGAGAGAGAGGAGGGGAGAGAAGAGAAGAGAGGAGAGTGTGCAGGGGAGAGAGAGGAGGGGAGAGAAGAGAAGAGAGGAGAGTGTGCAGGGGAGAGAGAGGAGGGGAGAGAAGAGAAGAGAGGAGAGTGTGCAGGGGAGAGAGAGGAGGGGAGAGAAGAGAAGAGAGGAGAGTGTGCAGGGGAGAGAGAGGAGGGGAGAGAAGAGAAGAGTGGAGAGTGTGCAGGGGAGAGAGAGGAGGGGAGAGAAGAGAAGAGAGGAGAGTGTGCAGGGGAGAGAGAGGAGGGGAGAGAAGAGAAGAGAGGAGAGTGTGCAGGGGAGAGAGAGGAGGGGAGAGAAGAGAAGAGGGAGAGTGTGCAGGGGAGAGAGAGGAGGGGAGAGAAGAGAAGAGAGGAGAGTGTGCAGGGGAGAGAGAGGAGGGGAGAGAAGAGAAGAGAGGAGAGTGTGCAGGGGAGAGAGAGGAGGGGAGAGAAGAGAAGAGAGGAGAGTGTGCAGGGGAGAGAGAGGAGGGGAGAGAAGAGAAGAGAGGAGAGTGTGCAGGGGAGAGAGAGGAGGGGAGAGAAGAGAAGAGAGGAGAGTGTGCAGGGGAGAGAGAGGAGGGGAGAGAAGAGAAGAGAGGAGAGTGTGCAGGGGAGAGAGAGGAGGGGAGAGAAGAGAAGAGAGGAGAGTGTGCAGGGGAGAGAGAGGAGGGGAGAGAAGAGAAGAGAGGAGAGTGTGCAGGGGAGAGAGAGGAGGGGAGAGAAGAGAAAGAGGAGAGTGTGCAGGGGAGAGAGAGGAGGGGAGAGAAGAGAAGAGGAGAGTGTGCAGGGGAGAGAGAGGAGGGGAGAGAAGAGAAGAGGGAGAGTGTGCAGGGGAGAGAGAGGAGGGGAGAGAAGAGAAGAGAGGAGAGTGTGCAGGGGAGAGAGAGAGGAGGGGAGAGAAGAGAAGAGAGGAGAGTGTGCAGGGGAGAGAGAGGAGGGGAGAGAAGAGAAGAGAGGAGAGTGTGCAGGGGAGAGAGAGGAGGGGAGAGAAGAGAAGAGAGGAGAGTGTGCAGGGGGAGAGAGAGAGGAGGGAGAGAGAAGAGAAGCAGGGGAGAGTGTGCAGGGGAGAGAGAGGAGGGGAGAGAAGAAGAGAGGAGAGTGTGCAGGGGAGAGAGAGGAGGGGAGAGAAGAGAAGAGAGGAGAGTGTGCAGGGGAGAGAGAGGAGGGGAGAGAGAGGAGGGAGAGAGAGAGAAGAGAGGAGAGTGTGCAGGGGAGAGAGAGGAGGGGAGAGAAGAGAAGAGAGGAGAGTGTGCAGGGGAGAGAGAGGAGGGGAGAGAAGAGAAGAGAGGAGAGTGTGCAGGGGAGAGAGAGAGGAGGGGGAGAGAAGAGAAGAGAGGAGAGTGTGCAGGGGAGAGAGAGGAGGGGAGAGAAGAGAAGAGGGAGAGTGTGCAGGGGAGAGAGAGGAGGGGAGAGAAGAGAAGAGAGGAGAGTGTGCAGGGGAGAGAGAGGAGGGGAGAGAAGAGAAGAGGGAGAGTGTGCAGGGGAGAGAGAGGAGGGGAGAGAAGAGAAGAGAGGAGAGTGTGCAGGGGAGAGAGAGGAGGGGAGAGAAGAGAAGAGAGGAGAGTGTGCAGGGGAGAGAGAGGAGGGGAGAGAAGAGAAGAGAGGAGAGTGTGCAGGGGAGAGAGAGGAGGGGAGAGAAGAGAAGAGAGGAGAGTGTGCAGGGGAGAGAGAGGAGGGGAGAGAAGAGAAGAGGGAGAGTGTGCAGGGGAGAGAGAGGAGGGGAGAGAAGAGAAGAGGGAGAGTGTGCAGGGGAGAGAGAGGAGGGGAGAGAAGAGAAGAGAGGAGAGTGTGCAGGGGAGAGAGAGGAGGGGAGAGAAGAGAAGAGAGGAGAGTGTGCAGGGGAGAGAGAGGAGGGGAGAGAAGAGAGAGAGGGGAGAGTGTGCAGGGGAGAGAGAGGAGGGAGAGAAGAGAAGAGAGGAGAGTGTGCAGGGGAGAGAGAGGAGGGGAGAGAAGAGAAGAGAGGAGAGTGTGCAGGGGAGAGAGAGGAGGGGAGAGAAGAGAAGAGAGGAGAGTGTGCAGGGGAGAGAGAGGGGGGAGAGAAGAGAAGAGAGGAGAGTGTGCAGGGGAGAGAGAGGAGGGGAGAGAAGAGAAGAGGGAGAGTGTGCAGGGGAGAGAGAGGAGGGGAGAGAAGAGAAGAGAGGAGAGTGTGCAGGGGAGAGAGAGGAGGGGAGAGAAGAGAAGAGAGGAGAGTGTGCAGGGGAGAGAGAGGAGGGGAGAGAAGAGAAGAGAGGAGAGTGTGCAGGGGAGAGAGAGGAGGGGAGAGAAGAGAAGAGGGAGAGTGTGCAGGGGAGAGAGAGGAGGGGAGAGAGAGAAGAGAGGAGAGTGTGCAGGGGAGAGAGAGGAGGGGAGAGAAGAGAAGAGGGGAGAGTGTGCAGGGGAGAGAGAGGAGGGGAGAGAAGAGAAGAGAGGAGAGTGTGCAGGGGAGAGAGAGGAGGGGAGAGAAGAGAAGAGAGGAGAGTGTGCAGGGGAGAGAGAGGAGGGGAGAGAAGAGAAGAGAGGAGAGTGTGCAGGGGAGAGAGAGGAGGGGAGAGAAGAGAAGAGAGGAGAGTGTGCAGGGGAGAGAGAGGAGGGGAGAGAAGAGAAGAGAGGAGAGTGTGCAGGGGAGAGAGAGGAGGGGAGAGAAGAGAAGAGAGGAGAGTGTGCAGGGGAGAGAGAGGAGGGGAGAGAAGAGAAGAGAGGAGAGTGTGCAGGGGAGAGAGAGGAGGGGAGAGAAGAGAAGAGAGGAGAGTGTGCAGGGGAGAGAGAGGAGGGGAGAGAAGAGAAGAGAGGAGAGTGTGCAGGGGAGAGAGAGGAGGGGAGAGAAGAGAAGAGAGGAGAGTGTGCAGGGGAGAGAGAGGAGGGGAGAGAAGAGAAGAGAGGAGAGTGTGCAGGGGAGAGAGAGGAGGGGAGAGAAGAGAAGAGAGGAGAGTGTGGCAGGGGAGAGAGAGGAGGGGAGAGAAGAGAAGAGGGAGAGTGTGCAGGGGAGAGAGAGGAGGGGAGAGAAGAGAAGAGAGGAGAGTGTGCAGGGGAGAGAGAGGAGGGGAGAGAAGAGAAGAGAGGAGAGTGTGCAGGGGAGAGAGAGGAGGGGAGAGAAGAGAAGAGAGGAGAGTGTGCAGGGGAGAGAGAGGAGGGGAGAGAAGAAGAGAGGAGAGTGTGCAGGGGAGAGAGAGGAGGGGAGAGAAGAGAAGAGGGGAGAGTGTGCAGGGGAGAGAGAGGAGGGGAGAGAAGAGAAGAGGGAGAGTGTGCAGGGGAGAGAGAGGAGGGGAGAGAAGAGAAGAGAGGAGAGTGTGCAGGGGAGAGAGAGGAGGGGAGAGAAGAGAAGAGAGGAGAGTGTGCAGGGGAGAGAGAGGAGGGGAGAGAAGAGAAGAGAGGAGAGTGTGCAGGGGAGAGAGAGGAGGGGAGAGAGAGAGAGAGAGAGGAGAGTGTGCAGGGGAGAGAGAGGAGGGGAGAGAAGAGAAGAGAGGAGAGTGTGCAGGGGAGAGAGAGGAGGGGGAGAGAAGAGAAGAGAGGAGAGTGTGCAGGGGAGAGAGAGGAGGGGAGAGAAGAGAAGAGAGTGTGCAGGGGAGAGAGAGGAGGGGAGAGAAGAGAAGAGGGAGAGTGTGCAGGGGAGAGAGAGGAGGGGAGAGAAGAGAAGAGAGGAGAGTGTGCAGGGGAGAGAGAGGAGGGGAGAGAAGAGAAGAGAGGAGAGTGTGCAGGGGAGAGAGAGGAGGGGAGAGAAGAGAAGAGAGGAGAGTGTGCAGGGGAGAGAGAGGAGGGGAGAGAAGAGAAGAGAGGAGAGTGTGCAGGGGAGAGAGAGGAGGGGAGAGAAGAGAAGAGAGGAGAGTGTGCAGGGAGAGAGAGGAGGGGAGAGAAGAGAAGAGAGGAGAGTGTGCAGGGGAGAGAGAGGAGGGGAGAGAAGAGAAGAGAGGAGAGTGTGCAGGGGAGAGAGAGGAGGGGAGAGAAGAGAAGAGAGGAGAGGTGCAGGGGAGAGAGAGGAGAGAGAGGAGAGTGTGCAGGGGAGAGAGAGGAGGGGAGAGAGAGAGAGTGTGCAGGGGAGAGAGAGGAGGGGAGAGAAGAGGAGTGTGCAGGGGAGAGAGAGGAGGGGAGAGAGAGAAGAGAGGAGAGTGTGCAGGGGAGAGAGAGGAGGGGAGAGAGAGAGAGAGGAGAGTGTGCAGGGGAGAGAGAGGAGGGGAGAGAAGAGAAGAGAGGAGAGTGTGCAGGGGAGTGAGGAGGGAGAGAGAAGAGGGGAGAGTGTGAGGGGGAGAGAGAGGAGGGGAGAGAAGAGAAGAGGGGAGAGTGTGCAGGGGAGAGAGAGGAGGGGGGAGAGAGAAGAGTGTGCAGGGGAGAGAGAGAGAGAGAGAGAGAGAGGGTGAGGAGGAAGAGAAGAGGAGAGGAGGGAGAGAGAGGAGGGGAGAGAGGAGAAGAGGGAGAGTGTGCAGGGGAGAGAGAGAGGAGGGGAGAGAAGAGAAGAGGGAGAGTGTGCAGGGGGAGAGAGAGGAGGGGAGAGAAGAGAGGGAGAGTGTGCAGGGGAGAGAGAGGAGGGGAGAGAAGAGAAGAGGGAGAGTGTGCAGGGGAGAGAGAGGAGGGGAGAGAAGAGAAGAGAGGAGAGTGTGCAGGGGAGAGAGAGGAGGGGAGAGAAGAGAAGAGGGAGAGTGTGCAGGGGAGAGAGAGGAGGGGAGAGAAGAGAAGAGAGGAGAGTGTGCAGGGGGAGAGAGAGGAGGGGAGAGAGAGAGAAGAGTGTGCAGGGGAGAGAGAGGAGGGGAGAGAAGAGAAGAGAGGAGAGTGTGCAGGGGAGAGAGAGGAGGGGAGAGAAGAGAAGAGAGGAGAGTGTGCAGGGGAGAGAGAGGAGGGGAGAGAAGAGAAGAGGGGAGAGTGTGCAGGGGAGAGAGAGGAGGGGAGAGAAGAGAAGAGAGGAGAGTGTGCAGGGGAGAGAGAGGAGGGGAGAGAAGAGAAGAGGGGAGAGTGTGCAGGGGAGAGAGAGGAGGGGAGAGAAGAGAAGAGGGGAGAGTGTGCAGGGGAGAGGAGGAGGGGAGAGAAGAGAAGAGAGGAGAGTGTGCAGGGGAGAGAGAGGAGGGGAGAGAAGAGAAGAGGGAGAGTGTGCAGGGGAGAGAGAGGAGGGGAGAGAAGAGAAGAGGGAGAGTGTGCAGGGGAGAGAGAGGAGGGGAGAGAAGAGAAGAGAGGAGAGTGTGCAGGGGAGAGAGAGGAGGGGAGAGAAGAGAAGAGAGGAGAGTGTGCAGGGGAGAGAGAGGAGGGGAGAGAAGAGAAGAGGAGGAGAGTGTGCAGGGGAGAGAGAGGAGGGGAGAGAAGAGAAGAGAGGAGAGTGTGCAGGGGGAGAGAGAGGAGGGGGAGAGAAGAGAAGAGAGGAGAGTGTGCAGGGGAGAGAGAGGAGGGGGAGAGAAGAGAAGAGAGGAGAGTGTGCAGGGGAGAGAGAGGAGGGGAGAGAAGAGAGAGAGAGGAGAGTGTGCAGGGGAGAGAGAGGAGGGGAGAGAAGAGAAGAGAGGAGAGTGTGCAGGGGAGAGAGAGGAGGGGAGAGAGAGAAGAGAGGGAGAGTGTGCAGGGGAGAGAGAGGAGGGGAGAGAAGAGAAGAGAGGAGAGTGTGCAGGGGAGAGAGAGGAGGGGAGAGAAGAGAAGAGAGGAGAGTGTGCAGGGGAGAGAGAGGAGGGGAGAGAAGAGAAGAGGGAGAGTGTGCAGGGGGAGAGAGAGGAGGGGAGAGAAGAGAGGGGAGAGTGTGCAGGGGAGAGAGAGAGGAGGGGAGAGAAGAGAAGAGAGGAGAGTGTGCAGGGGAGAGAGAGGAGGGGAGAGAGAGAAGAGGGGAGAGTGTGCAGGGGAGAGAGAGGAGGGGAGAGAAGAGAAGGGGAGAGTGTGCAGGGGAGAGAGAGGAGGGGAGAGAAGAGAAGAGGGAGAGTGTGCAGGGGAGAGAGAGGAGGGGAGAGAAGAGAAGAGAGGAGAGTGTGCAGGGGAGAGAGAGGAGGGGAGAGAAGAGAAGAGAGGAGAGTGTGCAGGGGAGAGAGAGGAGGGGAGAGAAGAGAAGAGAGGAGAGTGTGCAGGGGAGAGAGAGGAGGGGAGAGAAGAGAAGAGGGGAGAGTGTGCAGGGGAGAGAGAGGAGGGGAGAGAAGAGAAGAGAGGAGAGTGTGCAGGGGAGAGAGAGGAGGGGAGAGAAGAGAAGAGAGGAGAGTGTGCAGGGGAGAGAGAGGAGGGGAGAGAAGAGAAGAGAGGAGAGTGTGCAGGGGAGAGAGAGGAGGGGAGAGAAGAAGAGAGGAGAGTGTGCAGGGGAGAGAGAGGAGGGGAGAGAAGAGAAGAGGGGAGAGTGTGCAGGGGAGAGAGAGGAGGGGAGAGAAGAGAGAGAGAGGAGAGTGTGCAGGGGAGAGAGAGGAGGGGAGAGAAGAGAAGAGAGGAGAGTGTGCAGGGGAGAGAGAGGAGGGGAGAAGAGAGAGAGAGTGTGCAGGGGAGAGAGAGGAGGGGAGAGAAGAGAAGAGAGGAGAGTGTGCAGGGGAGAGAGAGGAGGGGAGAGAAGAGAAGAGAGGAGAGTGTGCAGGGGAGAGAGAGGAGGGGAGAGAAGAGAAGAGAGGAGAGTGTGCAGGGGAGAGAGAGGAGGGGAGAGAAGAGAAGAGGGAGAGTGTGCAGGGGAGAGAGAGGAGGGGAGAGAGAGAGAAGAGAGGAGAGTGTGCAGGGGAGAGAGAGGAGGGGAGAGAAGAGAAGAGGGAGAGTGTGCAGGGGAGAGAGAGGAGGGGAGAGAAGAGAAGAGAGGAGAGTGTGCAGGGGAGAGAGAGGAGGGGAGAGAAGAGAAGAGAGGAGAGTGTGCAGGGGAGAGAGAGGAGGGGAGAGAAGAGAAGAGAGGAGAGTGTGCAGGGGAGAGAGAGGAGGGGAGAGAAGAGAAGAGAGGAGAGTGTGCAGGGGAGAGAGAGAGGGGAGAGAAGAGAAGAGAGGAGAGTGTGCAGGGGAGAGAGAGGAGGGGAGAGAAGAGAGAGAGGAGAGTGTGCAGGGGGAGAGAGAGGAGGGGAGAGAAGAGAAGAGGAGAGTGTGCAGGGGAGAGAGAGAGGAGGGGAGAGAAGAGAAGAGAGGAGAGTGTGCAGGGGAGAGAGAGGAGGGGAGAGAAGAGAAGAGGGAGAGTGTGCAGGGGAGAGAGAGGAGGGGAGAGAAGAGAAGAGGGAGAGTGTGCAGGGGAGAGAGAGGAGGGGAGAGAAGAGAAGAGGGAGAGTGTGCAGGGGAGAGAGAGGAGGGGAGAGAAGAGAAGAGGGAGAGTGTGCAGGGGAGAGAGAGGAGGGGGAGAAGAGAAGAGGGAGAGTGTGCAGGGGAGAGAGAGGAGGGGAGAGAAGAGAAGAGGGAGAGTGTGCAGGGGAGAGAGAGGAGGGGAGAGAGAGAGAAGAGTGTGCAGGGGAGAGAGAGGAGGGGAGAGAAGAGAAGAGAGGAGAGTGTGCAGGGGAGAGAGAGGAGGGGAGAGAAGAGAGAGAGGAGAGTGTGCAGGGGAGAGAGAGGAGGGGAGAGAAGAGAAGAGAGGAGAGTGTGCAGGGGAGAGAGAGGAGGGGAGAGAAGAGAAGAGAGGAGAGTGTGCAGGGGAGAGAGAGGAGGGGGGGAGAAGAGAAGAGAGGAGAGTGTGCAGGGGAGAGAGAGGAGGGGAGAGAAGAGAAGAGAGGAGAGTGTGCAGGGGAGAGAGAGGAGGGGAGAGAAGAGAGAGAGAGGAGAGTGTGCAGGGGAGAGAGAGGAGGGGAGAGAAGAGAAGAGTGGAGAGTGTGCAGGGGAGAGAGAGGAGGGGAGAGAAGAGAAGAGTGGAGAGTGTGCAGGGGAGAGAGAGGAGGGGAGAGAAGAGAAGAGTGGAGAGTGTGCAGGGGAGAGAGAGGAGGGGAGAGAAGAGAAGAGGGAGAGTGTGCAGGGGAGAGAGAGGAGGGGAGAGAAGAGAAGAGTGGAGAGTGTGCAGGGGAGAGAGAGGAGGGGAGAGAAGAGAAGAGTGGAGAGTGTGCAGGGGAGAGAGAGGAGGGGGAGAGAGAAGAGAGGAGAGTGTGCAGGGGAGAGAGAGAGGGGGAGAGAAGAGAAGAGGGGAGAGTGTGCAGGGGGAGAGAGAGGAGGGGAGAGAAGAGAAGAGAGGAGAGTGTGCAGGGGAGAGAGAGGAGGGGAGAGAAGAGAAGGGGAGAGTGTGCAGGGGAGAGAGAGGAGGGGAGAGAAGAGAAGAGAGGAGAGTGTGCAGGGGAGAGAGAGGAGGGGAGAGAAGAGAAGAGGGGAGAGTGTGCAGGGGAGAGAGAGGAGGGGAGAGAAGAGAGAGAGGAGAGTGTGCAGGGGAGAGAGAGGAGGGGAGAGAAGAGAAGAGTGGAGAGTGTGCAGGGGAGAGAGAGGAGGGGAGAGAGAGAAGAGTGTGCAGGGGAGAGAGAGGAGGAGAGAGAAGAGAAGAGGGAGAGTGTGCAGGGGAGAGAGAGAGAGAGAGAAGAGAGGAGAGTGTGCAGGGGAGAGAGAGGAGGGGAGAGAAGAGAAGAGGGAGAGTGTGCAGGGGAGAGAGAGGAGGGGAGAGAAGAGAAGAGTGTGCAGGGGGAGAGAGAGGAGGGGAGAGAAGAGAAGAGTGGAGAGTGTGCAGGGGAGAGAGAGGAGGGGAGAGAAGAGAAGAGAGGAGAGTGTGCAGGGGAGAGAGAGGAGGGGAGAGAAGAGAAGAGGGGAGAGTGTGCAGGGGAGAGAGAGGAGGGGAGAGAAGAGAAGAGTGTGCAGGGGAGAGAGAGGAGGGGAGAGAAGAGAAGAGTGGAGAGTGTGCAGGGGAGAGAGAGGAGGGGAGAGAAGAGAAGAGTGTGCAGGGGAGAGAGAGGAGGGGAGAGAAGAGAAGAGAGGAGAGTGTGCAGGGGAGAGAGAGGAGGGGAGAGAAGAGAAGAGAGGAGAGTGTGCAGGGGAGAGAGAGGAGGGGAGAGAAGAGAAGAGAGGAGAGTGTGCAGGGGAGAGAGAGGAGGGGAGAGAAGAGAAGAGGGGAGAGTGTGCAGGGGAGAGAGAGGAGGGGAGAGAAGAGAAGAGAGGAGGGTGTGCAGGGGAGAGAGAGGAGGGGAGAGAAGAGAAGAGAGGAGAGTGTGCAGGGGAGACAGAGGAGGGGAGAGAAGAGAAGAGAGGAGAGTGTGCAGGGGAGAGAGAGGAGGGGAGAGAAGAGAAGAGTGGAGAGGAGGCCGGAGAAAGAGACATGAAGAGATAGAAGTCTAGAGATAGAGACTTGGTAGGGTTAATAGTTATTATTTCAGCCCCCCGTAGGAAGAAGAAAACCTTTTGTGCACCCGGTTACATCATGAGATCAAATGAGCTCTCAGCACAAAGAGTCTCATAGTGACTAACAGGGCTCTTTTGTAAAAGTATGCAAAAGATTAAAACAACACATTTACCAAGATGAAGACCAAAACCAACAAGCTATTCTAATGGGAGGGAAAAGGTACCCTAACTTTAATTCAATGAGTCTTTGAACTTCAGGAGGAGACACAGAGATCTGATATGTAACGTGACAGTGGGGGCCATGCTAAATTGAGTTTGAGACCACTGGTGTCGATGGAACTGAAACAAGTTCAAGGCCATGGTCCTCTTCAGTGTTTGAGGCGACAGTTTGATTGGAAGCACTCACTTGATGGCTGCGCTGAGCAGGAAGTTGAGTTGTGGCATCACCAGTGTGTCTGGAGACGATAAGTACCGATCAAACTGCACCTGGTATTGTCAATAAATCAAAAAGATAACCATTTATTTAGCACAGCGACTTTAAAGGGTTGAAAAACACAGGACAGTTCTAATACTTACCATAGCGGCTTTGACTGAAGAGTTGTCCATGCTGGGAAGGAGAGACAGAGGACCCTACGAGATAATGGGACCAGTTTAAGCTAAACTCAACAATACATTGTTTAAATAATACATATATTTTCTGGATAGGGTATTCTACATGGAGCCTTGTATTTTGAGAAAATTTGCACGCACAAATAACAGGAAAGAGTTTGGCCGCAAAAGTATCATTATAGAGAGAGAACACTGTACCCCAGTTTTACAGCTATAAATAGTGTTGTTACTCCAAAATAATGGCATGAATTCACCTGAAATTTCTGTCTTTGAAAAAACCTGAATTGTAATACCTACATTCAGATCAATATCAAGTATTGATATTGATATCAAGTATTATATTGATCTGAATGTAGGGCACTGGAATGCTGTGCAGAGGTAAACTTCCAGATATAGTCACTCCAATTTTGTTACAAAAACTTCTAATCACGCCTGCCAAAACCGGCTCGGGGCATGTCCTGGGGTAACCCCGGTGGAGAATGTAGGTTACAGCATGTTAACCATCAACCTCACGGGGCCCCCCACCCCAACAAAGAAGGGCCACCTATGCACGGGGCCCCCACGCCGGCCCTGCAGCGCTGCCTTTTGTTCTGCCGCGCACATGTAGGTCACAGAGATCAACAACTTACTCGGGCTAAAAACAGCAGCGAAACGGTGGCTGTTATGAGGATATTGTGGAACGCGGAGCAGGAAGATTAAATAAGGGCAAATTATAACTGCAGTTTGAAAGGTTGAAGAGGCAGAGTGTAAAAGCAAGCAGGGGCCTCTAAGTGGAAATATAGGTAAGTAGGTGAGCTCCAAACTAGATCAAAAAGTCAGGCTAAAAAAAGATATAAACTTCTGAATTAAAACGTGGAAGAAGCAGATTTGGAAGCGAAGGAAGCAGAAAGTGAAACCTTTAGGCCCCAAAGACACAGAAATACACTCCCTAAATAACTGTCTAAAATGTGGAAGGTAAAAATCACAGTAATGATCTATGACCAGATTATTCAAATATTCAAACATTGTTCTTTCAAATCTTTTCTTCTCTTTTGAAATATGTGTATGCATATTCAAAATAGATAAAATAAAGTGTGTACCGCCCTTTATGGGCAGTATACATTTGGCATAGGTGTGAATCAAAGCGTCACAGTTTGGATTTATCGCTACATTTTAAACTTGCCGTATTCTATTTTAATGGGGTTTCTGGGCTATATTCTCACAAGAAAAGATCAAATATTTTGATTTTTTACTACTGTTTGTACTACAGCCATAGACAAAAACCTACATATATTGTTCACATTGGACCCGTAAAGCAGCATCTCCCTTGAACTTGGAGCTAGCGTGACAAAGACGCCTCATTGTAATCCTCGAGGTAAGTACCTTTGAAGCAATTAGGCGCCTGCAATTACCTGGACGTCCACTTTATGCTGACTTTAAAGGCCTAAATAGCCCACATTAAAGCAGCGCATGGCAGGGTTAAGAGCTGGAGCGCACTACACATGAGTTTATGAGGCATGGGGCCACACGGTAAAAGACATCATCGTGTAATCAGATGGAAAATGTTTTGTCCTAATGCATACATATTTTTGGAAAAGCAGTTCTTTGATCAAAATAACATGGGAAGTGGACTATTAGTGGTATGTAAGGCTTTTTTAATGTAAACAAAAAAAAGTGAGTTACGTACACAGAGCAAATGTACTTTGTACCATTGATATACAGAGGGGGAAATACAGTCAGCCACCGAGTGGGCAAGTCCTTACACACCTTAAAGTTGATCTTATCTTACACTTAAAAACATGCCTGTAAAATTCATTATAGGCATTTCCAACTTCCTCTCGTAGACCTCAACTATGAGAGACAAAATAAGAAAACCAGAAAACCAGAAAAGTAAATGATTTTTGAAGGATTTCTTTGAAAATTAGTGTTGAAAATATGTCTTTAGTCAATAAGTCCGTGTCAATACTTTTACAGCTTTTATTGGCAATGACGAAGGTCAAACGTGTTCTGTAGGTTTTTCACACTGTTGGTATTCTGGCCCATTCCTCCGTGCAGATCTCTACTAGAGCAGACCACTCTAGGACCATGTAATGCGTCTTACAAAGCCACTTGGGATCATTGATGAAAGAGTAAGCCACAATTCACCTTCAATGGCCTTCCTGATGGAAGGTGAAATGGCCCCAGTCATTCTTTCCTTGACGTAGGTGTGGTGACCTTTGGATGCAACTCGGTAGTCCTACAGAGGTCGAGTTTGTACCAAAAATAACTCACTCAATTTTGTTTTTATTTGACTACAGTACAGTCTCCCAATCCTCTTCTGGATCATCAATGATACCAGCTACAGAGAGTAAAAAACTTGAGAGGACTTGCAGAAAACATTGGACCTCTGTCATTGTCATAAAGGGTAAATAATAGTATTGAATTGAATTTTGTATTTCTTTTTCTCATTTTCTCTCCCATTGTTGAGGTTTACAGATGAACATTACAAAAATCTCTAATAGGGAGGACTTGCACACTCTGTGGCTGATAAAATACTAAATACCAGGAAGTTTGATGTAGTTTAGTTTAAAGGAAACAAATTGTCCGTTTTTGGACCATGTTACAACATTGATCCTTCATCAAAAACAGACTTGTTTTTAGCTCCATCCATAATAATAAACTGGGACAAGAACGTCTCCCCACCCCTTCTGTATAAATACTTCTGTCTCAATCTTTCTCTGCAAAACGATCAGCCAACAGTGACCTCTGCTGGTTAGGGAATTTGGATGAGTATGATTCAACTACACTAAATACTCGGGTGAGCTATACTAAGTAATGTACAAGTTTGTATCGCGATTAAAGCAGATTTGACTTGATAGCTGAACATTGCGAACGTTAGACCACTACACACCAACCAAATAAGTATTCAAAAACTATTCAATTATATTTGTAAAAAAAACAAACATAAAAACTGAGAGTTGATGCAAAAGGTTATTCCTGATTGACAATCCCTAACTTTCGGTATGAAAAGGTAATCGGGTACACCAACTTTAAAACATATGGTTTAATTACAAGTAAGAACATAAGATGGTACTGTCTGTGAGCCATCGACTGCTACCTCTAGGATCAGTCACAGGAAGCGTAAATGAAGAAAAAGCAAGATGTACTATCATTAGTAGAAAAATGTTCAAATCAATCTGAGAATATAAATAATAATTGTACTTCAAATTTCCTTCAGCAGTTTTCTAAAGACCTTTTTCCCTTTTTTGAAGATGACAAGGTGCTTTTACCCTTTTTATCTCTAAGTGAATACATCCTAGTGGGTATGATGCTGACTGATTGGCTGCTCGTCTGTCATTTGGAAGCTTTGGGAGCAGAGGCCACCCAAAAACAGCCAGACGTTGGAAATGACAGCGTGTGCAGCTCTGGGTGTGCCGTGTCCCGGTGTGACCCCAGCCACAATGCTTCTTCTAACTCAGCCCAAGTGCACAAGTGTGAGAAGACTTCATTTCCATGGTATTCACTTCATGGCCGAATGAAAATTGTCTTTTTTCCTCTCATTCAGTGACATGAAAGAAACTGTTATAAAGCTGCCCATGCGGTTGCCATGGCGAGGGCAGTTGGAAGGGCAGCAGCGGTCGTAGGACTATGGTAAAAGCTAATCCAATCATTAAAGGGCAAATTAGTTTCAGTTTTCTAGTGGAATGACATGTTTTTGAATATAAATAATAGATTTATACAGACGAAGCAACAGTTTATGAGGGAAATGTGTGTGGGGAAAAAACCTCTATTTTTCCTTTGAATCAATTATTTTGTCTCACTATATCAGCAGTCTCCAACCTGTGGCCAGGGAGCTTCAGGTAGCTCGCCAGCCCCTTTCAGGTAGCTCGCCAAAGGATTCAGAATTTAACAAATGATCTTGAATTAATACATTTTGAGCCCTTACATACTGTATCTATAATAAGTATAAACATTGTGTTATACAGTATTATGGTATATTTCACATGTGTTCTTCATGTTTTGTCGTAATCATTAGACGGATTTTTATTACAACTGCAAAAAGGAGTAGCTCTCTGCCTCTTATTTTGTATTAAAGTAGCTCTCCGATTGAAAAAGGTTGGAGACCCGTGCACTAAATCATATTAGATTCTTATTCAAAATATATGTTCTCTGCACATTGGAGATGTCATCAACCACATACAAGGGGTAAAAGTATATCATAAACTGGATAAAATGAAATTATAAAACTCTATATCAAATTAATCATATTGAAGTGCAAGAATAAAACGAATTTTGGTTTTTTACCCGACGGCAAAAAGAGCTCATTTCAACGAGAAAACACACAACTCTGAAAACACACAAAACACTTGCTTTATACACTTCTTTAGTGAGTCTGGACAAGACCCGACGTTTACAAGGACAGAAGATGACATTCTATTATACACGCACAGAGAAGATTTTTTTTATCTGGGAACAATGTTGTGTCACAATTAAATACTCCCAAAAAGATTTTCCATAATATGTCCCCTTAAACTTCCAGAGTGCAGATTGTGGAGGAGAGCAAGTTTAACTTCTCACTGGGTTTTTCTCAGTCTATCATAATTGTGTCCTGTACTTTTAGCTCATTTTATTTATGAATTTGTCTGGAGCACACTGGGGTCCTTTTGCACATGTATCCCAATGTGGTTTTACTGCAAATGGCAAATAACCTCAGTGTGATCTGAATCTAAAGTGCTTTTTGAAAGACAACATCTGGTTGAGATGTAATTGCCTTGTTGACACCATCTTCAGAGCCATCCTCAGAACTCTCACAAATCATTCAGGTCCCTTTTTAAGTGGTGTTTAAAATAGTAGTAATTTTTGATTTTCTACTAAAAAGAGCCACTAAAAAGGCTCTCGTGGGCCGGATTTGGACGTGCCTGCTCTTACGTCTATAAGTGTAATAGGTTTTGCACTGTCTGGTAATATGAGTGGTGCAACACATAGAACTTCCAGCTGCAGTGATGAGTACAAACTGTGAGTGTGGATTGAGACCTGTTCGGGGCCGTGCTGCTGGACGCAGTTGTAAATGTAGCTGAGTCCGGCTCTGGTCAGGACGTATGAAGCCTGCTCGTTGATCAGCGTGTCAAGATGAGCCTCAATCTGCGAAGCGAGAACAAGGGCTGAACATGGGAGAAAAGCCTCACAGAAAGCTGGTCCATTCAAAGCCAATGCTACTCAGCCTTAATGGAGATGCGCTGCCAGCTTTCAATTACAAAAGGCGTGCTAAAAAAAGACGGCTGAATGGCGGCCTTCGAGCACAACAATGCATGACGCGCGCCCCTTCATGAGAGGGGAAAATGAAATCTTTTGGACAGATTATACGTGTGCATAAAAGGAGCGCAATTTAGCACAAAGGCAAGACTTTACAAATACACTTTCAAAACTTCCACATGTTGCAAAAAGGAAAAAGCAGAAAGAAAATGACGGCGTTCTGAAATAGAAAGGGTTGCATTTTCTTTACACTTTGTAATGTACGTGGAGAAAAAATGGGTCATAAAAAGGGCTCTTAAACTTGTTCTCGACACATTAAATAGGTTAGCTGCCTTATTACCCGTTTGATAAGCTTTTTTTTGCACAGGTCACATATATGACACAAGGAGCACACCAAATACACTGTAGATAAGCAGCTCTAAAACGTTTCTTAAATTTGGCTATAGGGCTGTATTACACGCTGTAACGCACATGATTGCAGTATTTACCAATTACAGATATACAGAATTAGCCGCTCTTGTTGAACAGTCTGACAGCAGCTGTACACCGTGCGTAGCAACACCGACATTTATTCACTGGATAATTTTTTTATAGCCAAACAACTAAGTATTGATTACATTGATATAGAATAAAACATGGCCACAAAGGGCATTAGAAGCCATCTATTTTTCTCTTTTTATATTTTGTCATACTAACCAACTGTCTTTGTCATAACAAGTCTAAGCATTTGTGACAGTGACAGGTTGACTAATTCAGTGTTAAGTAATTGTACTCAGTAGCTTGACCATAGCTTAACAAGCCACACACAGTTAGCTGAAAGTGGGCGTGAATAAGGAATGTAGACAAGGTTCTGATTGGCAGCTGTCGAGGCAATGCAAGCCCAGTCCACAATTTCTGACGGGAGCGATGACTGCAAGTAGGGCTGGGCGATATGGCAAAAAAGTCAAATCTCGATTTTATTTCCTGCTTTGGATGATTTCGATTTTAAATTGATTTTCATTAAAGTCACCGAAGACAGACTTTGCCCTTAAAATATGTTTTGATCTTTCAGCTCAATATTCAAGTTTCAAAAGTATTTTTAATTTGTTTCCCCAATAGGTATTATAAAAGTCTAGAACAGACTGTGCTGATATTGCAAGTATAATTCATGTGTTGCTGGAATTCTCACAATATGCTTCATTCGATTTCACAATTTTCGCATTTTTCACAAATTTGATTTTTTCAAAAGCCGATTAATTGCCAAAATTCGATTTATTGCCCAGCCCTAACTGCAAGTACATTATGCTAACCCAAAGCAGCCATTGAGATTATATACATAAAAGAGCACACTGTAGCTAAATCGGTCATCCCCGTATAGTAATCCAAGGTCTGTGCATTTCAACTAGTATTTTCTTACAGACTGTTTTCGTCCTTTGGGGTAAATTATCCAGAACTCCTGTAGAAATGGTATATTCCTTTGGAGGTAAACTATTATTTAATTTGAAAGGTTTGTTTTCATGCATCATATTTAAAAGACAGATTAGACATATGGTTTCACTCCAGTTTTGAGAGCTCAGAGGCTCCAACACATTTGAATTAATCTGGCAAAGAAAGCTTTAGTGTGTTTCGGGGCTTCATTTTCCCATCACTAATTTATGTTTGCTGTTGATTTAAGCACAACCACAGCAATCCATATAATAGAAATACATTATAATAGAAATATTATTTTCACATGTGCTGGTAGTGGTGGCTGACCTGGAACTCCAGCATCTCTAGCCTCTTGTCTGTAAACTCAAACAGAGCCAGAGAGGTCTTCATGACGTACAGGGAGTTGACCATGTAAGTGGCCATGTCCGCCGTGCCCAGGTTACTGGCAGAGACCGTGCACAGCTGAAGTAGAGGGTCCAAGATACACGACAGCACCTGCGACAGGAGGAGAGTGCACACACATGTATGTATTATTAGGACAAATATGTATGTATGTATGTATGTACAGTGCCTTGCAAAAGTACTCGGCCCCCTTAAACCTTTCGCCACATTTCAGGCTTCAAACATAAAGATATAAAAAATATTTTTTTTGTCAAGAATCAACAACAAGTGGGACACAATCGTGAAGTGGAACGAAATGTATTGGATAATTTAAACTTTTTTAACAAATAAAAAAACTGAAAAGTGGGGCGTGCAATATTATTCGGCCCCTTGCGCTAATACTTCGTAGCACCACCTTTTGCTGCAATTACAGCTGCAAGTCGCTTGGGGTATGTCTCTATCAGTTTTGCACATCGAGAGACTGGAATTCTTTCCCATTCTTCCTTGCAAAACAGCTCGAGCTCAGTGAGGTTGGATGGAGAGCGTTTGTGAACAGCAGTCTTCAGCTCTTTCCACAGATTCTCGATTGGATTCAGGTCTGGACTTTGACTTGGCCATTCTAACACCTGGATACGTCTATTTGTGAACCATTCCATTGTAGATTTGGCTTTATGTTTTGGATCATTGTCCTATTGGAAGATAAATCTCCTTCCCAGTCTCAGGTCTTTTGCAGACTCCAACAGGTTTTCTTCCAGAATGGTCCTGTATTTGGCTCCATCCATCTTCGCATCAATTTTAGCCATCTTCCCTGTCCCTGCTGAAGAAAAGCAGGCCCAAAGCATGATGCTGCCACCACCATGTTTGACAGTGGGGATGGTGTGTTCAGGGTGATGAGCTGTGTTGCTTTTACGCCAAACATATTGTTTTGCATTGTGGCCAAAAAGTTCGATTTTGGTTTCATCTGACCAGAGCACCTTCTTCCACATGTTTGGTGTGTCTCCCAGGTGGCTTGTGGCAAACTTTAAACCAGACTTTTTATGGATATCTTTGAGAAATGGCTTTCTTCTTGCCACTCTTCCATAAAGGCCAGATTTATGGACAGACTCTCCCACCTCAGCTGTAGTTATCTGCAGTTCATTATTCCAGAGTGATCATGGGCCTCTTGGCTGCATCTCTGATCAGTCTTCTCCTTGTTTGAGATGAAAGTTTGGAGGGACGGCCGGGTCTTGGTAGATTTGCAGTGGTCTGATACTCCTTCCATTTCAATATAATTGCTTGCACAGTGCTTCTTGAGATTTTTAAAGCTTGGGAAATCTTTTTGTATCTAAATCCGGCTTTAAAAGTTTAAATTATCCAATACATTTCGTTCCACTTCACGATTGTGTCCCACTTGTTGTTGATTCATGAAAAAAATTAAAATGTTATATCTTTATGTTTGAAGCCTGAAATGTGGCAAAAGGTTGAAAGGTTCAAGGGGGCCGAATACTTTCGCAAGGCACTGTATGTATGTGTATATATGTATATGTATATATATATATACATATATATGTATGTATGTGTATATATGTATGTATGTGTATATATATATATATAGCTCATTGATTCAGCCCGTACAAACTGCTAAGTAGAATTTTTTGGTAATGCTACCTCTCCTCCACTCAGAGACTGAGGAGCGGCGCTGATGCCAACAGGCCACACCTCCTATAGACCACGCCTCCTCTAGCGTCTGCAGCGCCGGTAAATACAGCAGCATGGCAGCAGAAAGTGGTTATACCTCCTCTGGCTGTAACTGCATACACAGCAATACAGCCCAAACAACACAAAAGTGAGAAGGAGAAGAGGAAGCTAAAGCAAAAAAATTATCAAAGAAGAAATCAAGCCCCAGTGACAATGGCTCAGTGGGTAGAGCATTGGCCTTCAGGCCTGAAGGTCGTGGGTTCAATCTCCACCCCGACACCTTCTCCACCGACTCCCACTGATGACTGCTGTCGTTGTGTCCTTGGGCAAGACACTTAACCCCATATTGCCCAAAGCCTCCACTGAAAGACCAAGGCTATGCTCACACTGACAGAGCAGCCATTCTCCTGTGGACTCACCACCTGCAGAGGATCAGTGAGGGGCTGGTGCTAAGTGTACTGGGTGGCATCTCTGACTGCCACCCCCCCCGACCAAGAAATGGATTAAGGGGTAGAAAATGGATGGATGAATGGACATTGTATCCACGCTGCAGAGACATGCAGGAGCAGGAGTGCCTCGGACTACATTTGGACGCAAAAATAGCAGTAATCTTTCAGTTATATATTTTGTTAGCAGTGCTTTGCTTTTGTACCATATTATCAGGGATTGTTGTACAGCTTACAAGTTGCGCTAATGTTAATGTTTGCATATGTATCAGATCGCAAATAAAACTAGATGGCTCTGTGGTATAAGAGCGTAGGGGAAATGAGAGACCTGTGAGCGAGGATCTATTACAACAATTAACAATCTAGTATTTATGTCAGACTCGCTGTACACGGCCTTGTCATCTTGAATATCCGCGTAAAAAGAACAAATACCAAATTGTAAACAACTTACAGCGTTGAAACGTACCCACTCTGACGTCACCAAGGGCTGTGAAGTTTTTTCGTCTCTAAGGGCGTTGCTATGGGGTTATTTCGATTTGGGGGGATCAGACAAAAAAAACAACAACTGATTTTGAAACCTTTAGTAGTTCTCTTCTAATATAAAATGGTATTAAAACTATATTTCTAAATAAATCAAACCCGGCATAAGGTCTTTAAGACAGTCCTCTTTAATTTAGCATCTGCACCTGCAGACTGCCTTGCCCGACCTGCCTCATGAGCTGCACCCCCTCCATCAGTCCTGCACCGCAGCTGTCCTCGTTCTACAAACTGAGTCATGTGCTGCGTGGCCTCTGTCTTTGTTCTGTGAGCGGATCCCTCTCTCAATGTGGACCTCCCCGACGTCTCACTTTTTTCCAACGAGTTTTGGGGTTTTTTCCCTTGCCGATGCAGAAGGGTCTGTTAGACTGTTAGTGGGTCTAACAGAAAGGACTGTGGTGATGATCCAGGACACAAACATTCTACAACATTTATGGACATTTATCAACATTCATGGACATTTTTGTGTTTGAACTATTTAAATCTCTCATCTGTGTTGGCTATTTCAACAGTTTTGAGAACATTACTGTTGTGATTTAGGGAAAGTTGTGATTTAGGGCTGCGTATAAAAGAATAAACTGAATTGGAATTGAAATGCACTGAACTGCTTCAGTGAATACAGCAGTCTTTGGGGTCCCCCATAATATTTCCAATTCCATATTAACTGCAACCATGGGATGTTAAAAATTCTATTATTCTATATAATTCTCCACAGAAAAAAAAAACATTTATTTTATCATAAACGTTGAACCCATAATGTAATCAATATTAATACTTTGTCTTTCAGACCACAGTCTACCTTAATTTTGGTCCAGTTTTGTTTGGTATTTTCATTTTGTTCTCAATTTGGTCAAAATATATGCACAACAAAGAAAATGACATTGTTGCTATAAAAATATAGGCTAAAAAGCTTGTCGCCCCTTCCAGATTTTATGTTTTTAATGTTTCCCTCCACCAAAACCAGTTTGATCCCAGCGCGTGGAGAGTGCGGTTGATCATCTCAACAATAGGGCGTACTCGTGCCCCGTCTGCGCTGAAGAAAGAGTACACAGGGCCAAAAGGTTGCGGACCACTGGACTGATCTTAAGTCTGCTGTTCACTCATGATGTGGAAAATGAAGACACCTTTTTGTTTTCCATTTCTTTTCTTTTTTTTACCTGAGCAAAGTCGGCCTGCCGTGCATCCAACGGCACCACAGAGGAGTCGTGTGAGGCCAGAACCTCCCTCAGCAGGGACAGTGTCTGGGTGAGAGAGCCAGTGGGACCCAGGTCAGCAGGAGGTAACTCCACCTGTACACAAGGACAAACAGACCAGACTAACCTCAGCCAGACAATATCTTTACTTTCAGGCCGCACACAAGGTGAAGAATATAGAGCAAAGACAGAGAGAAATTCAGATTTATAATGAATTGAAAGTTACAGACAAATTCAATAAAGACATTTGGAGTTTTAGCAATACAAGCCCTCCTTAATCCAGACTCAGCCTGGTATAGTCATAGGCAGTAGCTTTCATCAGATTCCCAAGTTAATGCTGGAGTACCTACATTTTTAGTTTGCTTAATACGTACATTTTGTTAGTCTCAACAGAAAGAGTCTTGTTGAAAGTGTTAGTTATCAGACCACAACATGCTGTCTAAAAAAAGATAAGATAAGATAAGATAAACCTTTATTAGTCTCACAGTGGAGAAATTTCAGATATTCAAATATTGCATGCATCTTTTGCCGAGCTTGTCCTTTTGTCACTGAAAAGACAGATCTAAAGATCAGTTTTCAGAGACCAAAAATACATGTGGCGGCACGGTGGCTGAGTGGATAGCACTCTCGCCTCTCAGCAAGAAGGTCCTGGGTTCGAATCCCGGTCGGACCAGGGCCTTTCTGAGTGGAGTTTGCATGTTCTCCCCGTGTCTGCGTAGGTTTCCTCCGGGTACTCCGGTTTCCCCTACCACTAAAAATATGTCCAATAGTTCTAGCATGCGCCTCCTGTACTGGCGACCCCGCTCCCATCTCTGTGTGGAGTGAGAGACAAATGCCCAAAATTAACAATTGTAAACCGCTTTGAGACTCAGATCTGCAGTGAAAAGGCGGTATATAAATAAAAACTTACTTACTTACTAACTTACTTACTTACATGTATGTGAAGACTAGAGACTGTTTTGAGAGCTATAGAGACTAAAATAATGACATGGATTATATTGCAATCCATGTCATTATTTTTGATTAAAAGTTATGGTTCTCATTGAACAAAAAAACTGATATATTTATCGTTATCTTTTATTATTATTATTTTTATTATTATTATCATCATCTTATGATTTATTGTGTTATTTGTTTTATTATAGTGAGTTTATTTAAAGGACAACTCACCCTCAAATCCACTTTTTTTTGCTGATAACCGGTATAAATGAGTGTCCAATAGTGTTGTCTACATATCCTGGTCATAATTTTGTCACTTTGGTGCAAATTAGTTGAAAGTTAAACTTTCTGCCTAAAACCGTCTGTGAGGCGCCATCTGCTGGCGACCTGTATTACTACATTTGAATTTTGAATCTGGCGCCAACATTGGCGCGGCAGCAAGACCTGACGTCTGAAGCAAGACCTGACGTCAGCAGCCCCCCGCCCAGAGCTATATTAATGGCCCAGTCTCGTTCACGCCCCCTTTAGTCCTCCAGGCTACGCCCATTTAGAGGAAGATTTGAACAGGAAATGTGAGTGACGTAGGCTCCGAGGAGCGGGGGTGAGAACCACTTTAACTTTTATGCATTTGCCCATTTAATTTGTAAATGTCTATCTCCTTATTCCCTGACTTATGACAGAGCATGTGTGAAAGGGCAGTTCATAAAGAGCAGTCCTTGTCGGCGCACGGCAGAGGCCCCTTCCTCTGTAATGAAGGAGCTGTTGTTCCTGGGCCCCGAGTGCTGCTTGTCTGCCCCCTTGGACCCGCTAATGGACACAATTATGAGAGGGCCGTGTTCTTGGCATTAGAGGAACAAGCCCTAAACCTGCAGCCTCTTAAATGTGATTAACATTGAGCTGAGCGATAATCCGCCGTGCTCGTATCGATCGGGACGCAGCCGGGGGAGGCGTGCTCGTGCTCGCCTTCATGTGGACCACAATTTAAACGCTTCTGTGTTTTTGGCTTGTGCTGCAGTGGAAGTGGAAAGGGGAGATGTGGACAATAGTTTCTAGGGGTGACAATTGGCAAAAATGTGACAATTCAATAGTTTTGCAATATTTGGGCCACAATTCAGTATCACTGCGATTCTTAACTCATTCACTGCCAGCCATTTAAAAAGCAGCATCCCTCATACTGCCAGAGATTTTGGACATTTGTAGTGTTTTTCCGAACCGCATAGAAATGTGAGCCCTTGGTTGACACAAGTATGAAACATACCAAATGAAAGCTCTATCCCTTGGCTTTCATAAAAAAAAAAAAAGTAAGTTTCTAACCCTTTTAGTTTTTTAGCAATTGAGAGTGCAACATAGGTAACTTTCACACAAAATGCTGTTTCCTGACCAAGATTTGGAGAAAACAGCCTTTTTGTGAAACGCGCATTTTCAAGCAGAAAAGTGGGTTTTTTTTGTCTTTACTGATATTTTACAATGTATGACAGTTTCTTACTATGACACAAAACAGAAACAATACTTTGAATTGTATTTTTAATGTATAATTATTTTTAAACAAATTAAACGTGTACACACAATACACTCAAAGGATTGTCTTATGTACACATACAATATTCAACTTGTATACAATAAAACGCTTTGTACACAAATATACAGTAAAAATAACACTTTCTGAACACTTTGTGAAACAATTTTACTTTAGTTTATAAAGAATAGTAATTGGGTGACCCCACACTCGTGTGGGGTGGAATCTACTTCCTCCGCACTCCCAATACATTTCCAGATTAGTTTTTTTTTTACAAACCCAGTGAGAAATGTCAAACCAAAACAGGTTTTTAGCTGCAGTCTGTCACTGGCTTCCATGCATTTTCTCTACTGAATGGGAGACGCTGTGTGTGTGCACTGAAATATTGTGCTGCATACAGCTTTGTCTGTTTGACAACAAGATCCAGGATCCAGAAGTTCATCAGTTATGAAGAGCTGCATAAGTCATCTGCTGATCCAAACCAAGCTCTGCTGCAGCATTTTGGGGTCCTGGGGTCAACAATCTACGACACAAAGGAAAATATAAAATCACCATACATTTTCACATTATAACAAGTGTTTAGGCTTCAGCAGCTATGACATTGAGATAAAAAAAACTCTTCAATATTTGCTAAAAACGTTACTTTTTGTTTATTTTTACTATAGTATAAGCCAGTGATTGCTCCGTCCAGAATCTCTCAATGTTTGAACGCAAAACCACGCAGACTCAGGGATCAGAGCAACAGGGAGAGTCTCTCTCTCCCTGTTCCAAAGCAGCAGTGGGCGCGCTCCTGACGCACCCTCCACAGTGAGACGCACCACAGCAGAATGCACATGGTGCGGTAAATCTAACACTTGTTGCTCATCATGGGACCTGCTCACCGGTCTGCCATGGATCACCTCCCCCTGTCCCTTCTATAAACCACACGGTAACATCATCCATAGCTCCCTGGCAGCTAATGCTGCATGCCAGATTCACACGCCTCCAAACTCAAGAGAAACTTTTGGAAAAATGTCCCGCGTAATCAAGCATTTTACCCCGCAATAATCATTCATCAATCAACAATTCGGGCGTTCTGCTCTCCCAAAATTTCATCCACTGAGCGGCGCTGTGATCAAAAAATGACACCGTTTGTTGCCCAGTTCACTTCCGGTTGATTTCATACAATGGCGAATATGGCTCACGAAAACAACAAGCGATTGACAGTGCCTGAATTGCGTGAAAGGTTGAAGCGAAAGGGTATTTGCAGTGTGGGAAAACGAAAGGAGGAATTGTTGTTGCTAGTTCAACGAGCGGATGGTGTTTATGAAGATTTAGAAGAAGATGACAGCGAGCAGAGTGAACGAAAACGGCTGTGTGTGCGAGTGACAGATGGTAACAATGAGAATGAAGTTCAGCTAAGAGGGAAGAATGTGAATTGGACGGATGATTTGCGCGATATGCCACTAGTTAGAGACGGGAATGTATTTGCATACAGAAAATGACGAAAACACTCAACCATTTAGAGAAAATGCGCCGGGCAGAGAGAACCGGAAGTTGCGAAGGCAAGTGTTACCCATAATGCAACGCAAAATTCAGTCGCTCCCCCGCCCATCGGATGGAATTTTGGAAGAGCAGAACGCCCGAATTGCGCGCAAATCCTGGAGGGGCTGATAGTACATTAGACAAAGGGGAGAAATAAACTCGTAAATGCAACATGTTGAAGTGAAAAGCAACTTACCACATTACGACGGGGGGAGGAGCCGCTGCCGCTGCTGCTGGACGAGGAGGGAGGGAGAAGCCTCCGAGGATCCTGGAGTCTCTGAGGTTAACTAAAACCTGAAGAACTAGCATCGTGGCATCTAGCTGCTTCATATTTATCCGTTTGATGACTGAACAGACTCTCAAACAGCGTTAGCTGCGTGAGCTTCTCAGATCCGCGATCCTCTGTGTAAGCATGGCTGCTCCTCTGGCTGTTTGCTGCTCACAGCACCACATGCCCCCTTCTCCCTCCCTGGATCTGGCCACAGTGTCACCTCTGCCCCCTACAGGATCGGTTCCAAAGTGTTTACAGGTCTGAAATGTTGACACAGGGTGCACAAGAGCCTTGACAAGCCATAGAAAGAAATAAACGAAAAAAAAGCGATTGACGTCTATAGACGTCAATGGCGGTGAATGAGTTAACATAGTATTGCATTGTGATTTATATTATTAAAAGGCATTAAAAAAATTGAGGAAACTAAGACTGCTCAACTCAAATGTTACGTTTATTATGGACTGCACATTAACTGAAGTACAAAACCTTTAGGAGGGTAGTGCACAAACGTTATCCTTGAACATTCAGGACACAGGACCTTATTACAGGACAAGACATGATTATTCTCTGAACAGGCCACCTCTTTCATGAATGATGAGCCCCCAGCACTTAAATTATTGGAAAGCAAACATAATGAGTAACATAAAGCTCAGAGAAGTTAAACAGATAATTATCTAATTAGATATTGCAGCACTTTGCTCTACTTTTTCTTCAATCACTAATAGTTACAATAAATATGATAATAATTATAATAGCCTGGATCCCAAAGCTCTCATGAAAACTGAGCATGTTTACTTCATATCCAAGGACACGGATAAGTGCCGGTAATGCTTCTAAAAATGGAGAATACTTAAACTCCAACTACAGGAAAAATACCTTGTCCATGAGGCGGCTGGCGTGGAGGCTTAGGCTGTTGAAGAACATCTTTTTGCTGAGAATGTGCATCTCGTCCACGGTCATGAGCAGAGAGGCTGCGCTGGTCCCAATAATAGAGCTGTAAAAGCACCATCACTCGTCATCACTAATGTGCCACTCAAACGCAAGCAATATTCTACAGCATTTCGGCCAGGAAGGAACACCAATGAGTTCCATTTAGAGTCATTTAATAACCACGAAAGCAGAAAGGCACTTCACCAAATTTAGAAATCAATGTAGATATTATATTAGAAATGCTTTTCCGTTTCCTTTGAGTTTACAAATCCACTGCTTCCAATGAGGCTGGAGCATGCAATGCAATCTAATCTCTAACCAATAATTATAGTCAAGTAAATACCAAACAAAAAATAGCTAAGCTTTGTTAAATACAAAATAATATGAAGAGCACCATATGGTGTGATGGTAGAACTTGAGCAGGTTGGAGAGTTTGTAGAGCAGGACGGCTCCAGGCTCGGCCACAATCACCTGTTCTATCCGCACCTGGAGACATCACAGTGCATGACCGACATTCCACATATTCACACACACATTACAAAATTATCAGAAATCTGAACCATCATAACTGATATTTAAAAGAAAATATGAGGTTTTTCTTACTCCTCCATGGACTGTCACCCCACGGTTGGGGAGAGTACTCTGAGGGCTTTATGCACATGGCAGGGTCTCCCAACGCAAACATGTCCTACCATGAATAGTTAGATATCAAGTAAGGCATCAATAACTACTTCTAATCTTCCTTTTGTAGCTAAAATCCTTATTGCTAAACAACTATGCTGGAACATACAGGAAAATAAAATATTTGAAGTCATTCAATCCGGATTCAGGGATCATCACAGCACCTCAGCGCAGCATTTGACACAACAGGCCACAACATTCTACTGCAGAGGCTAGAATGTGACAGAGGTCTCAGAGAGACAGCCCTTAGCTGGTTTATCGGATCGGTATCAGTTTGTTAATGTGAACCAAAAATCCTCACCCTATTTTAAAGTAAAATTCTGTGTGCCACAAGGATTGGTACTTGGCCCGCTTCTCTTCATACTCTACATGCTGCCATTGGCAACATCACAAGAACTGACAATAACTTCCTCTGCTGCAGTACACACGCAGCCTAAGAAACCAAACCAGATAGATCAATTAGAAAGGCTTAGTGCTAATGTAACTACAGTTGTGATTTAGGGCTAGGACGCAGAAGACGTGGTAGTCAGCTCATTAGGGCGTAGGAGCCTGAGAGGAGGTTATGACATCCCAACGAGAGGCACCGGTAGTTGTCCTCACCTCCACACACAATCTGGAACCCAACTCCTCAAGAGGGTTTGGACTCTTCCCCTCAAGTACTCAGCATTGTAATACTGATACTAAAGATGTGTTATCATCAACTAAACTTCCAAACTAAAGAGGAATAAAATAGAGATAAGTGGGAGCCAATATGTGATCATGGCATGTTATTCCTCATCTTTAATGTAGTAGCTGCCACTCCATGTTTGCAGCCTTTTAAAAACCAATATTGGTCAATTTTCTAATTGAAACAGATTTAAAGTGGTTGTACATCATAATTTATGCCAATGTTATTCTCCTGTTAGCGTAAAATAGTCTCCACAATTGCAACAGAACACGCTATAGCTCTATAACAATTATGATGATAATGGCAAGGCAAGGCAAGTTTATTTATATAGCACAATTCATACTCAAGGCAATTCAAAGTGCTGAACAAGAAAGCATTAAAATCATAAAGAATCACAGAACATTAAAAAGAAAGATAAAAATATAAAATCCCTCAGTTGTAGCACAGCTAAACAGAACTGTCTTTAACCTGGTTTTAAACATTGTCAGAGAGGAGGCCTGTCTCACATCTTCAGGAAGACTGTTCCAGAATTTAGCAGCATGAATCTGAAAAGCAGCCTCCCCATGTTTAGTTCTGACTCTGGGCACTAACAGGAGTCCAGTCCCTGTGCTCCTCAGAGTCCGGGCTGGTTCATATGGGAGTAACATGTCACTAATATATTTTGGTGCGAGGCCATGGAGAGACTTGTACACAAGCAGAGCTGTTTTAAAGTCTATTCTCTGAGCCACAGGAAACCAGTGCAGAGACCTGAGGACCGGACTAATGTGGTCGTACTTCCTGGTTCTAGTCAGGACTAATATGGTCGTACTTCCTGGTTCTAGTCAGGACTAATATGGTCGTACATCCTGGTTCTAGTCAGGACTAATATGGTCGTACTTCCTGGTTCTAGTCAGGACTAATATGGTCGTACTTCCTGGTTCTAGTCAGGACTAATGTGGTCGTACTTCCTGGTTCTAGTCAGGACTAATATGGTCGTACTTCCTGGTTCTAGTCAGGACTCGAGCTGCTGCATTTTGAATGTACTGCAGCTGTTTTACAGCCTGTTTGGACAGACCTGTGAGCAGGCCATTGCAGTAGTCTAACCTACTGGAGACAAATGCATGGATAAGAATCTCCAAGTCTGCTTTAGACACTATGTTTTTGATCCTGGCAATGTTTTTTAGGTGGTAAAAAGCTGCTGATTTAATGTGGCTAATCACCACATTACTCACCTTGAGCGGCCGGCACACTCCCTCAGTAATGTGTCCAACCACCTCCTGCATGTTCTCCTCCACCCCTGGGAAAGAGACACTGTGTTTATGCTAATCTATAGTTAGAGAGCAAAAGGTTTTGGTTTTATGACACTTGAGGTGAAATTAGATTATCATATATTTTTTTTACATTTTACAGAAACAATGTACCTTTTGAATGATATAGACTCATTGCATGCAAAGTGACATATTCCAAGCTTCATTGTTTTAATTTTTATGATTATGGCTTACAGTCAATAGAGATGTTTTATTTGGGTTTTTTACAAGATGATAACCAATTAGGGGTCATTATGGGACAGCGGCTCAGCTGGATGAGCCTTTGAACCCATCGATTGTGGGTTCAAGCCCACGAGACCTTGTTGTGTCCATAGGCAAGACATCTGCTGAAAAATCTGTGCTGTCACTGACACAGCAGCTGTCCTCCTGTGGACTCTGTGCTATGTGAATTGGGTGCAGCTCTGACTGCCACCCCCCGATCGACCCAGAAATTGATTAAGGGAAGAAGATGGATGGATGGGAACCAATTATAAACAGAATAACAATTGTCACTGGAGAGAACAGGGACAATTATGAAAATGTATTACGCTTATTGACATTGGTCTTCCTGCTCCCTATTAACCAAAGGGTCCTATGTGTTTGTTATTATTGCATTTTTAAGTTGGAACAGTTGGCTTCTCTTATTTGTTTTTGGAGAACTTGGTAAACAACTTGGTAAAGTCCTCTGAGATGACTCCTGTTGTAATTTATGATTAATTTTATGATAATTTTTGCTGTACAAAAAAGACGAACGTAATAGAAAATGGATACATACAAGATCATATAAAGGCTCTTTCAGACCCACCTGGTACTGTCACTTGCTTGAGCAGAGCCTCCAAATGCTCCTTCTCTGAGGCAGTAGCTTGGTGTAGCCAGGCCAGCATGTCCCCAACATATCTGAAACATGCAGCCCCATTCAGGATCAGCCCTGGAGCCCACCTTTCAACCCTTCACCTCCTCACAACAACACAAACACACATGTAATCGCGTCAGAGCAGGGCTGGACTGGGACAAAAAAACGGCCCGGGCATTTTTTCCTTTTTGGCGGCCCAGGCAACTCAAAAGTTTCATGGAGCCATATTTGACAAAAAAAAAAAAAAAAAAACAGTGTTGTATAAGGCTTATATGAAGGTAACAGGGGCTGAAGCTGTATTAGCTACATTAGCTACCTTAGTTACATTAGCTATATTAGCTATATTAGACTATTATCTAAATGACAAAGTAAAGGCTAAACACATAAAAACCATTCATGATTATCAAATGTGTATTTTCATTGCAGCATCTCCTGGAGAGAATGACGCACCACGTGACAACTCTGCTTTAAGTTTAACTTCCATTTTTTTTGCCTTCATGCAATTGTACAAATACAGTAAATAAATCTGCTTTTTGGCTCAGTTCACCTGCATCACTGTCTGTTCATATCCATCACAGGCTGAAGTTTGCTGGAGCTGAATGTCCTTAATGGCCTTTTCTTTCACCGTCTTTGCGAAGGTTTTTGAATTCTGAAAGTAGGTGCTCTGACTTTATGATGAATGAATCTTTCAGTGAACAGTGTTTAAAGCTTCATTGTTCCTCGTGTTGCAACACAACTTTTCATTACAAACATGAAGCAGTCCTTCCTCATTGACTGAAAGCAAATGTTCATTCTCATTCTTAGTCCAGTCTTATCGACTCTTTCTCTCTGTATCTTTGGGATCCGTGCGCACATGCCGGTTTGTTTGCAGCCGCGTCACAGGATATGACGCACTACGTTGACAGAAATGCTAAAATTGAATATTACTTATACAAGTTTTTGCAGCATTGAAAAACGTTAAGAAGGTTTTTCCTCCTACAGAAACCACATTCAAACTAGAAATAAAATATAGCCCTCACACTCCATTTTCAGACATTTTTGAAAAGGCTCCAGGAGCCACTTTAGGGGCACTAAAGGTTGCCGACCCCTGGTTTATACAGTATGTGGAAGCAAATACTGTAGAGGATCAGGATGTCTGCAGTTTCAACAATAAAACAAAGTACAATAGTCTACATTAAACAGAGTAATAACCATGTCTCAGAGTGAGGGAGGTGGACACAGACAATACTATTGTTTGTTACAGGGATGAGAATTGGTAAAAAATTCTGAAATGCATATTGTCAGCCATTGGCTGGCTCTAAATCTGTTTAATCTGTTCACAACATTTTACTTTTGGGCTCAAACATGAACTTTTAATGCAATGGAAAATTTAGGTACCCGAGCTTTAATTTAGAGGAGAGGGGAGACGCGGACTGTTTTCTGCGGTGTATTTATTGGGTGCACAAATTACGAAAAGACATGCATGGTCCTGTGCGCGTTTATGGTCTTGGGTACATGGTCACGTTGCGGCCACGCGCTCACCGTGTTGTGTTGTGAGCGGTTCCCGGTGAGCGGTTCTTGCGTCCAGCTCAGAGCCGCTGGATGTGGGAACACTGCGGCCGCTGAAGTGGTGGAATCCCGTTCGAGTACATACAGCAGGTGCCCCGCGGACACGCGCGCTCCCCTCAGACATTTCTCAGCGGATTTACACTTTTCACAAACATGTGTTTTGTATGAGGCAGACAGACCGGCCCAAATATGGGCATCGGCCCTTCGGGCATTGCCCGGTACGCCCGATGGCCAGTCCAGCCTTGCGTCAGAGCAGCGGCTGCAGACCACATGTGCGATTGTGTGAGCGGCTCGTTCTCAGAAGTGTTGTGGTCTCGGACATGGTGAAAGGTGACGGACACTTTTCGAGGAAACTATTGTATTTGGCTCCTGGGCAGGGCACAAAATGGCCATGGATGTGAGTCAGGAAATAAAGACACAATGGCATAACAGATTTAGCTCAGGGGGAAGGGGGCACAGGTTGTAGAAGGGGTAGGTTAATAGGTTTGGTTTGGATAAAAGGTACTTAATTTGTTCTGATATACAGTTATAATCCATGAAACTTATATATTGAACAGGCCGGCGGGATTGTTTTTAACCAAACTGTAAAGCACTTTGTGTTGCATCTTTTGTATGAAAAGCGCTTTATAAATAAAATGTGATTGATTGATTGATTGATTGAACTAAAGCGACACCGGGATGCTACTTCATGAACTTCATGTCCATCCAGTGACTCTGCAGAGGACCACTTATACCCATGAAATAGTCCTTATCATCCATCATTATCCAAAGCTCATGACCATAGGTCACAGGTGCTGACACCTGATTTCTCTGGCTCCCAGTTCTGCACAGTGGACGACCTCCCATAATTCTTTGCGCAAAATACTAAAGAGCAGGGCCGTGTTCTGACCAATCAGGCGCTGCTGATGAGAGCGGAACTGGAAAGGGAAAAAGAGTTTGTTGCACTAAAGTGTGGATTTAAAGTGATTGTCTGGAGTTTGTCAGAAAGAGAGAAAGAGAGGTACTTGATTTGAAAAAAACGACCCAAGCTCCTCCCCCTTCCTTTCCTACGTTTCCGTAACACTTTTAAATGTTAATCAGAGAACACATTATACATACACATTATTAATACACATGCATGGAGGTTTTCAGAATTATTTGTGAACGTTTTAATGAAAAAAATAATGTTTTTATGCACAAAAAAAAGCGATCGCGGCAAACCAGGAAGTGCTATTATCATGAATTGCACATTATAGGACACATCTGCAGAGGATCTGATTATGGATATAGGTTTATATATAAATGATTATGGATATAGGTTTATATATAAATGATTATGGATATAGGTTTATATATAAATGATTATGGATATAGGTTTATATATAAATGATTATGGATATAGGTTTATATATAAATGATTATGGATATAGGTTCATATATAAATGATTATGGATATAGGTTTATATATAAATGATTATGGATATAGGTTCAGTATATAAATGATTATGGATATAGGTTCAGTATATAAATGATTATGGATATAGGTTCAGTATATAAATGATTATGAATATAGGCGGCACGGTGGCTGAGTGGATAGCACTCTCGCCTCTCAGCAAGAAGGTCCTGGGTTCGAATCCCTGAGTGGAGTTTGCATGTTCTCCCCGTGTCTGCGTAGGTTTCCTCCGGGTACTCCGGTTTCCCCTACCACTAAAAATATGTACAATAGTTCTGGCATGCGCCTCCTGTTCGGCGACCCTGCTCCCATCTCTGTGTGGAGTGAGAGACAAGTGCCCAAAAATAACAATTGTAAACCGCTTTGTGACTCTGGTCTGTGAAAGGCGGTATATAAATAAAGCTTACTTACTTACTTACTACTTACTAGGTTCAGTATATAAATGATTATGGATATAGGTTCAGTATATAAATAGAGGCTTGATTCTGAGGCTCTGTGAAAACAAACAACTGAGCATGAGCAGCTGCGAGCATCAGCGCTGATGATTGACAGCTCTTGGCATGACTCGATTGGTTAACGTGGACGGCATTGTGGATTCTGAGCTATAGCTAAGAGAAGGGAAGGCGGGACTCACCTGTAATATTAGAATTAATAAAATGACTTATTTTATTTTAACATTTAAGGCCAGGAGGTCAATATAACACATTTCCTAAAATGTGTAATTCATTTAGAGTTACAGACTATCACTTCAAACAAGAAAAAAGGTCAGGATGACAATCCCCACAAAATCTGACCTTTATGAAAGCTGTCGGTTCTCTGTCAGCTGAAAATTAGCTGTTTTAGTTTATATTGAGTTCTATGGGGAAAATTTCTGGGTAGCCCACATGAATTTAGTCCCCGAGCCCATAGGTCCTTCAGCAATAAGCTAGTAATACCCTATCCAGATATTGTTATAGATCCTTGACAAGGGCGCATTAAAGGTCCCGTAGTACGCTTTTTTCTCTGCTTTAAACATCATTACAGTGCTATTTGGCTCATGCACATGCCCAGAATAGTTTTTTCATTGATTCCTTGAAGCTTTAGTTAGAGAGATCTTTCTCTTTCACCCTCAAGAGGCATATGTGAGTCCACATATGTGACTATTTCCACATTGATGACGAATAAGACACGCAAAGGCCCATTTCTTTTGTATTCAAAATGGTTCTTAAATACTGTCTTCAAAACAGGGAACACAATACTCAATAGAAATGTCGTTTGTTGTTGAGGCGGGCTCTGCCTGTGAGCCTGGATCAGCATGTGTGAGTTGAGGTGACATCACCCATATGCAAGAGATGGCTATAATCTCACAAGTTTTGAGTATTGTATGGTTTTAAACATTTAATTCGTGTACTTAAACCACGCTACAGTACGCTACAGTGTGTGCTGTAAGAAAAATAAAAGAATAGAATTGAACAATCGATCAATGGGAAAAATGTCTCTTTAAGACTTGTGTTCTACTTCTAGGCCACAAACAGGCAGTCTGAAGGGTGATGTGGAGCCGTACCTCATTGGGTCATGGGAGTGCATCTCTATGGGCCGGGGTGTTCCTCCAGGCCCCCCTCGTGTCAGAGCGTCGATGAAGCCCCTGACCACAGCACACCGGCGGGCTGTCCCAAACTCATCCAGGGTGTACCTAAAACACAGCACGTCACTCACACAGAGGGTGTACTTGAGCAAATATTACTTTGAAGTAATGAAACTGTTATTGAGAACACAGCTGTGGTCTTGGAAAAAGCTCAAGTAAGATTTCTAAATTGGATTAAGTCCTATCTAGAAGTCATGATGTACTTGCTGACTGCAGCATCCAACAGATCAGTGAGTGGATGCAAAATAATCATCTCTAGCTAAACTCAAACAAAGCTGAAATGACTGTTTTTGGTCAGAAAGCCAGAGAGTTTCTATGTCCTCAAAGCTTCAAATCAGGTCAGTAATCTATCAGTAATAATGGACTAATGGATTCAGACTGTGGCTCAGAGAATAGACTGTAAAATAGTGTACAAGCTTGTGTACAAGTCGAGAGACTTGTACACAAGCTTGTACACACATGTACACACATGACCTCTCACCAAAGTACATCTGGGACATGATAATGCCAACTCGGACTCTGAGGAGCACAGGGACTGCTGGTGCACAGTCAGCACTAAACATAGGGAGGCAGCGTTTCAGATTTATGCATTCTGACAATATTGAATTCAATTTTTGTGTGTGTATAGCCTTAAATCACAGCAGTAGTTATCAAGTTCTTTACAAAATAGTGGATTCGCCAAAACAGAATAGAATAAAACAATATTTATAATCCACGTCAAAAACAGTTCTGTGTAGTTGTGCTGATACAACTGAAGGATTGTATATTCACTAATTTGAGTCCAGTGTGATTATTTATGATTTTAATGTGTTCTTGTATAGTTAGGTCATTTTGCCTTGTCAATTAACTGTGCAAATAGACTTTCCTTGCCTTGTAAAAAGCTCCATCAATCGAAACTCATTGATGATTGAAATAGTTGCCAACTAAATTAGTAATCATGTTTTTAAACTCTGATAATTCTACAATGACTACATAATGACATCAAAATGTATTTTTACTGTCCATGCTCACCCCTGAAGCTTCCCAATTGGTCAAAATGATTTACAATCCTTGAGATCCCTTGTGTTTGGTTTAACTATTCTCCTCCAAAAATCTTACTGATCGTTGTTAAGTCAAGGGGACGGACCATTTTAAAAATAGTATTGTTTTAAATAAAGTTGAAACGTATATACTGTACACAACAGTACAGTGTCCCATGGCCAAATCCTGACATCCCCTTTAACAATTATTTTGAAAATTAACTAGTAGTTTGGATCTCAAAAGGGTAATGAATATGACACGTTTACATTAAGTCATAAAACCTGATAAAGTCTATGGAAGGTTCACTACAAAAATGATTGACAAAATAAGTTTAAAACTATTACAAATCTATTTGCCGTAATCGAGATAAGCTTGTTACAGACCTGGACTCAATCAGAGTACCATTACATTGTCAGATATACGGCTCAAGTAGCAGTACTTTTACTCTATGCCTGCAGTTGTGGGCAGGGATAATAAAACGCAGGTCCAAACCACCGCACTTGAGGTCGTTTTAATTTGCAGGCTCGCAGTCAGACTAAACACATAAAAGACGGCTCGGGTATTGAGATACCGAGAACGCCATCTGTCCCTGAGACCTTGGAAGCTTTCTGGGCAGAGTGACAGGTGCACTTCCCAGAAATTCAGTCAACAATTTGAGAAATGTGTCCGAAAAACAAACTTAAGCCATAATTGCAAATCTTTTTTTCCATTTCATTGCCTTGTTGTTCTGCTTATCCATCTCGGGAGTGCCTTTGTCCAGACTGCTCAGAAAACACATTCACATACATTTACGTCATAGAGGATTTGAGATTAACAAATGAACCGAATGAAATAGATAAAGCTGTAGGTGGCGTACCTTATGTTTCATTCATATTACATAAAGAAGAAAGTGAAAGCAAAGTCTTTGTGCAGTCTTTATCTTAAAAGAAAAGATGTTATGGTTTGTGTACCTTTAAGAAAGAGCCTTAAATGTCAAGTATTGACTTGCAGGTACAAAAATCATGACATCTTTTCCATTTCACAGTCTCGTTTAAGAGCAAAACTAATTAGAAAGCCTTATAAAAATGAACATCAGGGAAGCAGAAATGTTACAAGTGTCCACTTTTACAATCACTAACTTGCAGTAGGTTTACACCATCTACAGGATGGAAGTGGAATTGCACCATATCAATTGGACGTTTGACACAGTATTTTATGATTTAAAAAAAAATAAAACCTTGTAGTCTTAATATAAGCCTAAGCAACAAATACAGTAATATGAAGATAGTTCATGTGCCCATCACCTAAACATGTTTTGAATCAATTTCTACAAACTTTTCCTCAACTGGCCAGGTGGTAACTGGCTTCTGGTGAAAATAAAATAATTCCTCAGTTTGGTTTAGAACATGTACATTCCTCTAATATGGAGGATTTTAGACCATATACGAAACATTTTGACAGGGAGAAGTCTTATGGTTGTTTCCAATCTAACAGAAAACAATGTATTCAGCAAAACATTTAGACTAACTCAAGAAAAAATGAGGACCACCACCAGGACAGATGAGGAATTTACCTTAGAAGGTTCAGTATTCAGTTCAGGTTCAGTTCAGTAATTTTGGCCCAATAGACTTCATATCATTTTTTTATTGAGGTTGTGTTTATGACCCTATGTCAAAACATGTCTTCCCTGCGAGTTTGTTTGAGTGTGTTTTTACACCACCCTATGTGCTGTTGTTTGTCTGTTATTACGGCTCCTCATAGTTGAAGTAGAACGCTCCACTGATTTAAATGTAATCTCAAAATGTTCTACGGTCATTTATTACTGAAACCAATAATGACCACTGTCAATAGCAACGCAATTTGTGCTTGTAATTCAGGAGTGCTAGATCACTCCGCAAGTAGTCCGGCCTCTTCGTCAAGAAGCATATGTACGCCAGCGTTATCCATTTCTGTCTGCGAGAGAAGCTGGTGAGGTCCTGAGGTTAACGGGAGTCTGACTTTCAACCCAGAGAAACATCGCCATTCCTCACCTCCAACTGCACCTAGCCTTGCTGTTACTCACCAAGCCACGCTAGTGTGGGAACTATTTTATTTGCAGTCATTAGATAAACCTTTTGGCATTCATAAAAGTTTTTTGTGTGTTCAGTTGAGATATAGGAATATAATAAGCAGTATAATGTATAGGTTATGCCCAAAATATATTTATAAGTATAAATCTTTATGATGGAACAGTTTAGAGCATCTGGATGTTTGCATACTTGTAGAGCACGGGGCGGTCCTGCAGAGCCTCCATGGCCTGGCTCAGCACAGGGCTGATGTCACACGTCTCCTGGGTCAGTCCTCTGCACTCGTCTGCAGCACAAACACACATGCCACATGAGGACTCCACAAACATGTACCGCAAACACATTTCTCATTGACGCTGGTGTTCACACAAAGGCTGCGCTCGTCTCTCTCACAAAGAGGATCTGGGTCAGAGCGCTCCCTCCTCTCTGGGTTTTGTCTGCAGTGGAGCTGAAAGGCTTCTCCAAAACAAGATACTGTATGAACATGTGTCATTTCAGACAAGCAAACAGAACGTAGAGTATTCCACTCCATCGTCAGTGATCGAAAAGTTTTATTGTGTCAATAGAACTGAAGCCTCACCAAACTTTTCTCAAACGTTTTGTTCACACATTTATAAATATGTCTTTGTATTGTATTGTTTTTAAGACTATACACATGTTATGAAACATTTATAGGGGAAATAAATGTATTTTAATAGCACAAAAGATTTCCTGCATTTTCATGATGACATAGATAACGCCTTTTATTTCCTAATGAACACCTTTTCTTAAAACAACCACTACAGTACGAACAATTAAAAACATTTGAATAAAGCCTCATCCATCCAAACTGGACGACTCACTCTGGGCCCAGCGGTAGAGCTGTTCATAAGACGTCTCCTGTAACACGGCCATCTGCTCCATGATCTCCAGCCTGGAACAGACACACAGGCGCACAGGCGCACAGACGCACAGACGCACAGGCGCACAGACGCACAGGCGCACAGGCGCACATGCGCACAAACGCACAGGCGCACAGACGCACAGGCGCACACACAGGCACAGACGCATGCGCACAGACGCACAGGCGCACAGGCACAGACACACAGACGCACAGACGCACAGACGCACATGCACACAAACGCACAGGCGCACAGACGCACAGGCGCACAGACGCACAGACGCAGACACAGGCACAGACGCACAGGCGCACAGACGCACAGACGCACAGACACAGGCACAGACGCACAGACACAGGCACAGACGCACAGGCACAGACGCACAGACACAGACGCACAGGCGCACAAACGCACAGGCGCACAGACACAGGCACAGACGCACAGGCGCACAGACAGACAGGCGCACAGACACAGACGCACAGGCGCACAGGCGCAGACGCACAGACACAGACGCACAGGCGCACAAACGCACAGACGCACAGACACAGGCATAGACGCACAGGCGCACAGACACACAGGCGCACAGGCGCACAGACGCACAGACACAGGCACAGACGCACAGGCGCACAGACGCACAGGCGCACAGGCGCACAGACGCACAGGCACAGGCGCACAGACGCACAGGCGCACAGGCGCACAGACGCACAGGCGCACAGGCGCACAGACACACAGACACACAGACACACAGACACACAGGCACACACACACACATACATATGTACTTTGGTTAGGGTTTTGATAAATTGACAAATTTTAAAAATGAACTATATTGTGATATAGTTTAGTAACCGCAAAATGTTTTATGCATTTTGATTATTTATGCTTTATCTGTGAATGATTGTAATAATTCATTTCTTGTTTTGTGAAGCACTTGAGTTTCCTTTACAAATAAACGTGCCCTGCCTCTAGCATAAATACATTTATTCCGAGGTACTTCTTACTGAACAAACTTTAACTCTATACAGACCACACACCTGAACAACAATAATCTGTTGGAACAAAGTGGATAAAATGCGATTTTAAGATTTCGCTGTTGTCTTTGAGTCCATAAATGAAAAAGTAAATATGTCTTTTTTCACAATAATCAGGTATAGTCATGGTAATTACCCTGCCGTCTGCTGATTGGTTCTCAGGAGGACTTTGACGTCTTCATGGATCTGCTTCACGCGATGGAGAGCTTTGAAGAAATCCTACAGTGGAACATGATATACAAAATACATTAACATTGTATTTATGTATTATGTTGTATGATTACATCTTTTATCAATTAGTGAATAGTGTATGAAGTGTGTGGTGAAGGGTTTTCTACTTTGCAGATTTTGATTATTGCGGATTAATCTTCAGGCCGTATCCCTGTGATAAACGTGGGACCACTGTATTACATTTATGACGTAAAGCATGTGTTTATATTCACTAAGATTTGTATTTATTAGTTGTTTGGCATTTTATTGAATTGATTTTGACTAATCGTGTGAAATGTGAGTGAAGCTCTCAAGAGTTGTCTGTGTACATGGAAGGCGTTTCACTTAACCTTTACTCCACCCTTTGTTTCATAGAAAATCATTTTTATTTTTTTAGACTCCAGGCGCTTAAAGGGTTAACTCAAACTTTTGCTCTGTCCTTTCTGTTCAATCACTTCCAAATGTTTGAGATGCTTCATTTGTTATTTTATGTCTTTGGTAGATCATTGCAGGTGAGGGGTTCCCAAACTTCCGCACCTCTGTGATGGGCGTGTCCCGGGCAGCTCTCAGAACGGACATCTCCTCACTGCTCAGCTGGAACTTGGTGAGGAACGCCTGGGCCACCTGGGCTCGGACCTCCAACCGGTGACTGCAAACACAAGGACACAAGCATGCTTTAGGCAAGGCAGGCAAGGCAAGTTTATTTGCATTGCACAGTTAATACGACAGTGGCTCAGTTGGTCGAGCATTGACCTTGGAGCCTGAAGGTTTTCGAGCCCACCACAGGACCTACTTCACGACTCCCACTGATGACTGCTGTCGTTGTGTCCTTGGGCAAGACACTTAACCCCACTTTGCCTGAAGCCCCCGCTGGAAGCACTCAGCACCTGCAGTGCTGAGTCCACTGCAGGTGCTGAGGGGGTGGTGGCAGTCAGAGCTCTGTGTACAGCTCTGACTGCCACCCCCCCAACCCAGAAATGGATTAAGGGGAAGAAAATGGATGGATGGAGTTAATACACAACACAACTCAAAGTGCTTAACAAAACAATATAAACAAAATCATGCACTGCCTTATAATAAAAAGGAATCAGAGTACATTAAGAAGAGTGAAGATATAACCAGTTGTTCTCACAACTAAAAAGAACTGTTTTTTAACCTGGATATGAACAGTCAGAAAGAACATTGTCTCACATTTTCAGGAAGACTAGCTGCATAAATCTGATTTGATGCCCTCCCATGATTTGTCCTGACTCTGAGCACCACCAGGAGGCCAGTCCCTGGGCTCCTCAAAGTCAGAGTTCATACGGCACTAACATGTACTTTGGGACCAGGCCATGGAGAGACTTGTACCCGAGTTGAGCTGCTTTAAATGCTTTTCTTGTGCTTGTCTCATCCAGACAAGCACAAGCTATAATTTCCTACCACTTGTAAATTGTTTATCTATTATTATCACAAAATTTGCATATTTATTTAAAATGACCCACATTTCAACACCTCTTTTTCAAGGAATACCTTGAAAATCTCAATGGGACTTTCAGACACTCATCTGTAACATTTAAACTTCCCCAGCAGGTGGCAGTGTAGCACATATTAGTAACACCTTGTCCAGACTGCAATAAAGATGAGGTTAGTTATTATAAATTACCATAAAAGATTGTTGTAGTCACCACAAACAGAAGTATAAAAACAATATAAACATACATTGATAAAACAATCAACCACCTTTGAAATCCCAAAAATAAACAAGAAAAAACACAGAATGTTTAATTTGCTTATTTGGAAATACATTATTTAACTCTAAATAAACCACATTAGTTTCTGCAATTAAACAGATATTAAAACATGAAGAACAAAGAGGAAAAGATCAATCCTATAGAAATATATTTATGTATTTTGTGTCGAAAGGCAAAGCTCTAGTCAGTCTACGTTCCTCCCCTCACCTATGGTCATGAGCTTTGGGTAGTGACCCAAAGGACAAGATCACAGCACCCCTGCCCCAAATGAACATGCTCCCATAGGGTCCTTAATGCACAATGTTAGACAGCAGTCGTCATCGTCAATTATCTGAGTCATAAAACTTTAAGTCGGTTCAAAAAACAATTCAAATCGATTAATAAAGCAGTTGACAGTCCATTATTCACAATACTGAAATAGTAAACATGCAGCATTGTATGAGGTTTCTTTGCTGCCGCTTCAGTAGTGCAGAGTTTGGGAAGGAAAAAAGGGGGAAAGTATTAACTTCATATCAGGCCACAAGCCAACAAGCTGCCTCTTCCTCTTCTATCACTGCCCTTTCACACCAGCTCACTGTGGCAGTGTTCCTCAACCTTGGCACACATTTTTCATTGAAAACAATCAGAAACAACCAGCCAACACTGAAACAAACATGAAACTCTGCAGCCTTTATTTGCAATTCAAAGTCATTTTTCATCAAAGAATCATATAGAAAATCAAACAAGCACAAACATTTCTTTCTAATATCCTCAAATATGTTTTCTGTTCACATTAGTTTGACCATCCATCCATCCATTTTCTTCCCCTTAATCCATTTCTCGTCAGAGGGGTCTCAGTCAGGGCTGCTCCCAGTTCAGGAGTGCAGGAGGATCAGTGAGGGGCTGGTGCTTTGTGAACTGGGATTAGTTTGACCAATTAGGTGATATTGGATCATTCTTAAAGGAACACCAAATAACATCTCAAGGCACACCAACATGCTCTACAGTCTCGCCAATCACTTTCACCGTCCATAACCTCTGTGGACAAGCTGGCTACATTTATGCACCTCTCCAATTCAACAATGAGTTTATACACAGTAAAAAGACACGTCAGATATACTATGCAATGCAGATGGTCTGTTGTTGTCCTGCCTGGCTTAATATCTTCACTACTAGCGTTTTATTACCGCAGTAAAATGATGGGCTAAGTGTTACTGTACGACGTTATGCAAATGAGGCCGGCGGTTAAACTGAGCGAAGCATCTTTGTGAAACGGTTACTAAATCAGCGTGGCACAGAAGAGCATTAAAATCAGATATGTTCTTAGAGAGTGGAAACGGTGATGTCTTAAGGAGATAATTTTATCATTACTATGCAAATGTGGTGCAGTCGGCTGGAGCAAAAGTAGAATTTTGTCGACTTCCATTCGCTTTGCGTTCATATGTGAGCTCTGACGTGGTGTATCAACCTTCACCATCTATTGTGGTACAGTGGTCTTCAATTAGCCTCTGTGGTGGTAGATACTGAGCAAACAAAAATCGTCATTTGTGCCCATTGTATTGACAAAACTATGAATGCGGGAGTAATATGTGATTTTATAGACTAAAACAGGGGTCACCAACCCAATGCCCGATGAAGCATGATGTATAAATATTATTGGGTCCCAGAGCCAGTCGACCCAGGCCTTTGTCTCCGCCCCTTCGCTCAGCGGTTGCCGTTTGCAAAACAGTAGAGAGACATACAATAAAAGTGAGTCTAAATTCTATTTAGATCTTTGATCTCCAACAAGAGTCAGTGTTCACAGAGATATGAGCCGCTCAAGAGTCCAGTTCGAGAGTGAGGCAGAAACTTCAATTATCAGCTGAACAAAAGATGTTTAAAATCCTAGTCCATGTTAAAAGAAAATAAAACACAACTGGGCATACGTACAATTCCTAATTTTTGACCCATCGGCACAATGGCCAAAACATTTCAATTCAACTACATATAGTAGCCCTCAAGCCATTTTCTAATCTTGAGGTAGTCCTCGGATTTTTAAGGGTTGGTAACCCCTGGACTAAAACATCACAGGAAATCATCAGAATGCAACCTTGTTAAAAGATAGTAATAACATTTAATAGTATTGAATCAGTTTTATATAACTTTTCTGGGAACTCAAAGACGCTTCAAATGGCAATATTCATTCACTCCATACATGGTAGTGGTAAAATACTACTGTAGCCACAGCCGCCAAGGGGTGAGGCAACAGAATGTGCCATTGATCCCTCCACAAATTCATACATTCTAGGAAATGTGGGTGAAGTGTCTTGCGTAAGAACAAAACAAAAATTGCACTTTACAGCCGACCTGCTTCACTGTGGGACCTGGTGTTCCGAGAGGGCTCCCATCTCAGTGCTAACCAGGTTAGTACTGGCGCTACTGCAAAGAGTAGGAGGGTCTCAAAGCAGGAAGAGAAGTTTAATGACTTTATTTTGTGATTTTATACACCTTCAGGGAACAATGCCAACATTAGCAAATAACTCAAAAAGGTAATTATGTGTTCTTTAACACAGACAAACAAAATAAGATAAGATAAGATAAACCTTTATTAGTCTCACAGTGGAGACATTTCAAAAAAATCACAGGAAGGGCCCAGAGGACAGTAGAAGCAGCAATGTCTTAACTCAGAAGACTTTTAAGATGCAGAATTTTCTGAAATGGTCAGTTGCAGGGTGAAATGCATTCTTCCCAAGGTCACAATTAGGAAATACTAGTTACATGCCGCTGTAAAGGCAGGCGGCAAAGCTTTATGAACGGAGATTTCCAAACAATTGACAAAGGTTTTGTACAAACATGGATTTTTTTTATCCAAGGAAGTAACGCAGACTAATAGAATGAAAAGGTATCCTACTCTCAAATGAAAACAACTTTGTAATAAAATCAATCAAATATGATTCTAGCATGTATTTTTGGCCACTTTGGATCATCTTTGTCAGACAGAAAAGTTAGTTAACCCCAGCTTCAAATAACTAATTCAAAGCATGATTCAAAGTATTATATATATTCAGAAAAAGTTGAAAGGGAATAAAACACTCCCTGGGGTCCACCCTGTTATAGCGAACAAACGCGGTGGGTTCAAAACTATTAAGGGCAATTTGAAAGGCGGCTGTATAAATTTGGCACCAACCAGTTAGCCATGCACCAATGCTTCACAGCCCTGAGCCTATTAGTGTTGTAGTGTAGTGCAATAATCTTCACATGTAATACACACACACACACTTTGTCATTTACACAGCGATCGGCCTCCAGAGCGCTTCAATCATTAACCACCTGTGCTCTAGTCATCTGCAGTCTCCAGACTCTCCACCACATTCACAGCACCGGCTTCAGCGGGCTCTTTACAGCACCCACACAGACCGCTCATATGAAGGAGAATGGTACAATTCTTTTGGCCGATACATGATGATATTTTTGTCCCACATAGATTGGAGTGCCCACATATGAAGTACATTTCACTACTTGAAAAATTGCTTTAATAAAACGGGTGTACAGCTAAACCACAAGCCTTCATGTGTTCCCATTCAATGCCAATCCAGGAAATATGAATACAAATAAAATACAGGGTAAATCTATATTTTGACTCATATAGATTAGTCATACATTTCGGCCCAAAATTTACTGTTTAGTAGGGGTGTGACGATATATCGCGATACTTTCTCCCGCGATTCGATTATCGATATGCATTTGCCAAGTATCAAGATCGATTTTGAAAAAAAAATATAATTTGTTTTTTGTTACATTTAAAAAAAAAAATTGGTATCAATACTTAATATATGGCTACATTACGCATCTCCATTCTATTTATCATGAAATAAAGTGTAGTTTTTCTTTTACTTATGCCATAAATTGGCATATTGTATATTTCTGACCAATATATCGATAAACGTTATATTGTGAT